AAGTCGCGTCGGCTGACATCTTGGGTTGTACTTGGCATACGTTGTATGACCCGCCGCGCACGAGTGTACGGCTCCCCCTGTATCGTCCATAGTGAAACGACCGTGGGGGTCGCAACGTGATACAAGGTTGTACTGGATGTAACAAGTTTATTATCGGATGTCTACTTATATTTATTATGATATCATTATTCATTGTAATGGCAATAAAATTTAAAAATTTTGTTTTACTTTTTTACTGGTACAGTTACTCACGCCGCATGTATTATATAGTCTAATAATATTTATTTGTTATGTTCTCTAACAAGCATTCTGTAAAATTGTGTAAATCGGAGTCAGGAGTGTAATGTATTTAGAACTAGCCATCCAACTTGCAACTATCGCATTATAATTTAAGTAATAATCTTTCAAGTGTCTACGCAGAACTGCGTACTGCTCAGTCCTCATGCTTGATGCTTGAGCTGATCAGCGATACCGATGTTCACAGAGGCGCGCGCTCAGTCACAAATCATGAGCGCACGGATTTTGGAATTTCTCCATAATTGGCAGGTCGCAGTAAAAATTTTTTGGTGTAGTAATTGATGAAAAACTTAGCTGGGCCCACATATAGAATATCTAAGGAAAAAAGTTAAATCCACTACAGCATACAGAATTAAACATTCAGTTCCAGGGGAACACTACCACTGCATTATTGGAATCACATCTTGCTTACGGAATAAGTGTTTGGGGCTCAGCCCTCAAAGACCAACCAAACGATAAGCTATTCATAACTTAGAAACGTTGTATAAGAATCCTTTTTGGAGACCTAAATGCATACTTACTTTACTTTACTTTACTTTACTTTACGCAGTGCAGTTGGCAGTGTTCACGGCCTGTACTGCGCGAACGACAGAAATTTCCCTAAAACTTATTCTGCTTCTGAAATTTTGGCTCTAGTAATTAATAAATCTGACATTTACTCCATACTCGTTGTATTGTACTATACTTATAGACTCATCAAAACGTGATACAAACAATGTCATAATCCTCCCAAGAAAAACCAACACGTTTCTTTATACAGCCTCCAAATTATTATTAATTAAAATTGAAATTTAAAAACACCACTATTAAGCGTACACTTTTACTCAGCAGTGTCACTACAACTAGTTTACAAAAATACTTTTAAAACTATATATCAAAAGCAAAATAAAGTTCTATGTATAAATTCGTTCATAAAACTTCCAAAAAGCTAATATAATTTAGATAAGTCAAAGAGAGGGTTAAAATTATTAATAAAACATTTTTGCTACCTCAGTGTCAGATAAAGTAAACAAATAAGTCTTCAGTGCGGACTTAAACGCCTCAACAGAATAACATTGTTTAACTGAGTCTGGTAGTGCATTAAAAACTCGTGGACCAACCACACTAAAACTACGATCACCAAAACCCTTGGTTGAACGATAAGGGACTATGAGCCTAACAGTGTGTCCATGGTGAGCATACTTAAACATATCTTGAAGGTACAGTGGCGCTATTCCATTAATAGCCTTAAAAGATAGGAGACATATTTTAAAAATCACTCTTTTAGGTATATTAAGCCAGTGCAATTTATCAAGATCATCGCCTAGGTGATCAAATTTATATTTTCCAGTTACTGCTTTTGCACAGGCATTTTGAATAAGCTGTAGTTGATGTATGAGGTACTTGGAGATGCCGTAAAACATGGCGTTACAGTAGTCCAAACAAGAAACAACGAGGCTATTAACAATTGTCTTAAGCTGTTTTGTAGTCAGCAGAAACCGTATCTTAGTGAGGTTGCGTAGTGTTAGGAAACATTTCTTCTTCAACTCAACAACATGGTTGCTCATAGTAAGCCCAGAGTCCATATGTATCCCAAGATTCTTAACTGTGCTCACAAATCGAATAGTTGTGTCACTCCCAAAATTCACTCCCTTTATATTGATCTCTCGTAAGACGGACATAGGACCAAAAACGATTATCTGTGTTTTACTGTCATTCATTGCTAGAAAGTTGTGGAATAGCATACATAAACGGATTCTAAATGAGAATGGGGAAATCCTCACTACTTCTGTATCTTTGGTTAAATTACGCTGTAAAAGTATCATCCTGGGATCCCAATCCATCAACAATAATAACACCTGGACTTACCACAACTTTCACATCGCCCCTCACTCAGTCACAGACCAAACCAGTTCATCACTCACTCACCAAATTGCCGACCCAATATCTATTGAAGTGGCGAAAATTTTCTAGACAAATTACATATCGATATTATTGCTGCAGCAGATACAAATACCAACATTATTATATTCCCAAACGTTTGAACCATTAAATTAACTAGGAAATTCAATCCTCAACTTAACTTTTACTGTTTTAAACTGATATGATGATATTAACTTAACTTAATATTATTTTTTTTACATACTTCTTCTTAGTGTGGTGACTTGGGGTCCATAAATATAACAATACAAGCTGATAAAACAAAAAGAACAACTGGGGTAGGTAGGTAGCCCTGGTGGGTGCGTAAACTTTACGGTCTGCTCTCTCCAAGATCAGCCTGCTTCTCCATTTTACCGTGAAGCCTAATTTCTAGTTTTTATAAATACAATGCAAGTGCAGGTTTACTAATCTTAATCTACTTAACAAATCAATAGCCCAAGTCACCATACCCGTAGTATATTCCATGGTAATAGAAGAACTTTAAAGTTTTTCAAATTGTCGCTATAATTGATTTAAATAAAAATTTGTTGTTTTCTTGAGATCAGCGAGATGCGAAGGATTGGCATCGTGAATCAAAAAATTATGTATTGACTGTTTTGTGGTAAATAAAATTTTTGTATTTCTTCTTTAAAGTGACATGAGTCAAAATGTTGCTCTAACCAGAGCCCTCTCGCTTGCAGTATCGCGCGACCGAAACAAGCGCGTCACGCAGTACGCGTATATTGTATCACGTTGTGACCCCCACGGTCGTTTCACTATAGTGCGCGGCGGGTCATACAATGTATGACAACGCCTATACACAGTACATGGCTATGTGAAGTCAAAATGGTACGCTTAAATGCCAGCCATGGTTTTTGAAAAGTAAAATGAGACTAGCTGAGACATCATGTGAGTTTACTATGTCATCCCGGTCTGATCCAGCTCTTCCGGCACAATTGAGCGTTTGGTGCGGTTTTAAAAAAATAATCTTCTTGTTTTTTCGCGGGGGAGTGATGTCAGGGGCCTTTTATATATTATATGAGTATAATACATTTTACCTTATAATTAACCATCACTCCCATCTAGGAAATACTATGTATTTGTGTATGTAATTGAGATCGTATCAGCGCCTTTCATTCTACTCAACGCGTTTCATTCTACTCTAAACAAGCTTGATGATAGAATGGATGTCTTAAACTATAATTGCAGAATGGATGTCTTAAACTATAATTTCGTTGTCACTAATAATCTATTGACTTTCAAAGTTGAATTTTAGTTAAGTATGAAATGGCAACACATCATAGTTAGGGTAAAATATTATTCTTAAATTTTAAAATTGAGAAGATTGCTCTATGACTTAAAATTTAAAATTTAAGAAAAAGCTATATAATTTTTAAATAGTTGGTTACAGTTTATGACAGTACTGGCATGATCAATTTTATTGTGGCTGGTAAAAGGACCCAGTTGTCTGTAAGGGCTTTACCGAACCCCTGCGGACCAAAATGTGATAAGATCAGGCCAGATGTTTCCTTGTAGAGCAATTTATTTATTTCGGAGCTATGGTTTCATGATATAGCTACTGGTAGTGTTTAAAGGTCAGTTTATCTTTGTATGCTAATTATTGGCCAGGTAGCGCAGTTGGTTAGAACGCCAGCTTTGCAATCGTGAGGTTGCGGGTTCAAATCCCACTGTCTGCCTGGTCGTGTGGTGAGCGTTGTTGTGTGAAATCGGGTGTGAAATCGGGTGTGAGGGTTAAATGCGGAGCTGCACATTGCAGCAAAGTCTCGGGCAAAGAAAGTATGGTACACACTACCTTAACCGTCACTGGCTAAAAACAAATCCTTCGGCTTCCTGTAATTGGCTGGTTGCACTTGTGTAACAATGTGGCTGTTGGGATACTCTAAAATAAAATAAGTGTCTTTCTTCTTTTATCAGTTGTGACGGAATTGTAATGAACAAAATCCATATATAATTATTTATGATATGTTTGATTTTTTGTTATTGTATGTCATTCAAATTTGGTAGACGGCCCCAACGTTAATGTGGCTCTTGCTATGTGTTGGTTCAGCCGAATTAATTATTATGTAATCAAGTTTATTTTTCTCTTTATGTTAGTTGTCATCCGGCCAAACATTAAGCAACTTATATTGCAGTACCATTTATCAATTAGTATATCAAAATATGTCATTGTAATTTTGCAATTTGCATGGCTGAAATGTAACGCTTGATTTATATATATAATAATTAATTGAATTTTCAAATTTTAAAAATTAAAAAAAATCCATCCAGATGCTTAGTGATGTGAGTAAATCACAAAGAATTGTACAACATTGGACTCTTTTAAAGTGTATCTGAAAACATTTCTTTTCAAACGTGCTCATAATATTGTATCTTAATATTTTTCAATCCTAGTTTTCCCTAACTGGTTCTAACTGGAAAATGCATACACATTATCGTTTATTTAGTGTATCAAGTCTAATCACCCTTATCTGGTTTAGAATATAATGTGGGTTGCTTTTTCAGGTTTTATTGTATCCTGAATTGTTTTCGTGGCACACATGTGCATTTTAAGTTGTTGTGCCACTATAATATAAAAGTTTAAATTATTATTATTTATTAATCATGCCCTTCTACGATATATAAGGTCTAACCATAAATTTGTTTTATAAATCAATCAACTGTGATGTCTGCTTCTGTATTGTATTACCATTTGCTATGATTCAAACCATTCATTTCCTTGTTTACATTGCCACCTCAACAGACCAGAAACACTCACTTCATCTTTTTTTATGTCATCTTAATTTTAGCATTAATATGTTAAATATATATATATATTTAGCATATAGATGGGACAATGGAACATCAATCACAATGGATAGCGCAACAGCGCAACCAAAGGGTGAGTATTTAGTTCTGGAATCTGACTTATAAATCCTTTTTGTTAATCTAAATAGAATCATTGAAACAAGTACCACAGTGTGACCGAATGACCAAACTATGTTTTCCTTATTAGGCAAGCGGCGTCGTATAGAATCCAGTAAATCCAGTGAGTCAGAATCGAATGTCTCAAAGAAGGAAAAAGCGGCAGTCATCCCTACTGCATCTGGGTCAAAAGGTATTACTATTAGTGTTATTGACGATTTTTAGGGTGATAATGCATTCATGTTTACATATCTTGTTTTTATTTAACTTGAATTTTCTAATCTACTTGTGATCATTATTTGAATATTCAAAGATGATGTACATATTTACAAAGTATTGGATAATTATGAGTTCTCCCTCCAGATGGTATAAAGACCTGTAATAGAAACTCACAAATGATGTGGGATACCACTAAAAAGGGAATATTCTTTGATGCTGTCAATGAGGTATTTATACAATGTTATTAGTATTTATACCTTGTTATGAGGTATTTATACCTTGTTAGTTGTTATTGGTATTTATACATTGTTATTGACTGTGAGGTATTTATACAATGTTATTGATTGTGTGAGCTCAGTTATACAAGTGCATTATTCAAATAGAAGTCGCTGATCTGCATGATTTATTCTTATCTTTCAAGTTTCAATATTAGCAAAGACAAACATGTATATTGTTGGGCATCTCTTATCTTTAAAGGAATTGCTAACATTGATATCATACCATCTAATACTAGCATTCTAATTTCTGATACATACTTTGCGTTTCAGTTCGGAAAAGATTTCGACAAGATACACAACTACTTCAATACTAAGATAAAGAAAGTGTATGGTAATGTGGACACTTATCATGCTATCAAAAAGGAGCAGGTTGGAGTACCACTCATAATGAGTGACTCATTTCAAATTCATTTTAAAACGAACCAAAACTAAAAAGTAGAAGAATAATTCGTTTTGCTGTCCAATTATACTGAATTCTATTGTGTTCTCTTTCTTTCACTCATCTGAAGTTTATATCTTCGTAGGTCAAGGATTTTTATCAGAACACCTTGAAAAAGACGTATCAAATCGTTGATGCCAAAAAACTGCACAATCTTATTGTTGGAGGTACGACTCAAATTTATAAATAATTTAAACTAAAATTCACACTATTATATACTAGGGCAGCTTTGGGTTTGTTGCTGTAGTGGCACTTAGATTTTTGCAGAAGTACGAGCTTCTACATTTGCCAATTACCATAAACCCATTGGGTGAGCTAAGGACCTTGTGTCTGACCATCTCCAGCGTTGTAGCAATGTAGGATTGTAGGATTGTAGGATTGTAGCAATGTAGGATTATAGCACTGTAGCAATGTAGGATTATAGCACTGTAGCAATGTTGGATTGTTGAAATGTAGCAATATAGGATTGTAGCAATGTAGGATTATATGAATGTAACAATGTAGGATTGTAGCAATGTAGGATTGTAGCAATGTAGGATTGTTAGATTCTTCAGTTTCCTGTAATAAGTCGGTTACTTGGTAACCACTATTGGAACTTTAATACATAAATGATTGCGTAAAATATACTGTTGTCATCCAGCAATACGTATTGTTCAAGTAAAGATTCACGGAGTACAGTTTTTTCACAAATGTTTTTGTATAACCATTTCATTTATCATTCGAATACAACAAGCTTTATTGTTCTAATAAATGTATTATACATCGTAAATTATACATTAAACATAATAATTGTATTATACATAGTAGATTATACCTTATACATAATAAATGTATTATAAATGTATATACATTATACAATATACATAATAAATGTATTATACATTGTAAATTATACATTATACATAATACATGTATTATACATTGTAGATTACACATTATACATAATAAATGTATTATACATTGTAGATTATACATTATACATAATAAATGTTTTATACATTGTAGATTATATACATTATACATAATAAATGTATTATAAATGTATAAATCGTTTACAGAAGGTAGTGTTGATGAGGCAAACATTAGAGAGTACAGAGAAGTAATCATTCTACTATCGTACTGGCAGGTTTGTTCAACAAACAATCTGTATGCTCATTTTCTAATAAGTTTATCAATTTAAAATACAATTTAGTTTCTGCTGAACATTTTTGATCGACTATTTAATGAACACTAATCGTCCGATTGTAAACTTTAAATGCTTTTGACTATTTTAAACGATCCAAAATCTAATTGCTTACACGAAGTTAACACAGAGTTAACACGAAGTTAACACAGAGTTAACATGGAATTAACGTTATTGCTTTATAATCTTCCACGGTTAATTGTTGGCAGGTAATGAAACATTCTAAAAGAATGAAGTGGCCGACAGATAAACTTCACAGCAAAGTGAATGAGCTCATCTTCCAAGGATCAACCTGTCTCCGAATGAAGGTTTTTAACTTTAACATAATTGAAGCCTTTATATCTCCCTCTTACTTGTTATCACTAATTGAGTTCAAAATGAATAACAACCAATCTATGATATTTTTTATTCCTCATTTTAGCATTCTCTACTTATCCTGCTTTTAAAATTATACGATCCTAATAAGTTCGCATAATCAAGGTATAATTAAACCTGATACCCCTGGCTTGCGAGTTGTTATGTAATTCGACTACCAAGTCTCAGGCAGTTACATTCCAGAGTTAGATGAGCTATATTTCGTGAAGAAATTAGAATGAACGATTTGAACTTGTTTATGTAGTATAATACACACCAGTTACTATCAGTACGCCCATATAAACACAGATCCCATTTCAGTCTCGCAACTTCTACGTCCAGAGAGTCACGCCCAAATATTTCGTTGGAAGAAGAGTTGGTCGGGTTCCAGCTGAATTCACTGTTGATATTCTGCCCTTTAATAGTTGGAGTTGGGGCGTAGTGCAAAACATTGCTCAAAACCCAAGGATCAGGTATGTTGTGGAGTATGATATTTTTTATATTCTAGGGGTCTTTTAAAATTCAACTTAACTGTACACTAAAAGTTTGGATGATGGCCCAACTATTTTGGAAGAAGGCCAAAATAGCTGGTTACAGACCACAGAATTGTATTACGATAACACGCAGTATTGTGGGTATGTCGTCTCATGGAAGAATATCTAAGTGTCTTTGTGCTCTTAACATTGAGACAACAATAGAATGCTGGACAGCTGAAGATCTTCAACCATTTTCCTTGACAATTTAGTAAAATAACTATTCGAATTCACTGAATTTGTTTAATCTCATCAAGCCTGAGATGAAATTAAACATCTCTTTTATTTGTAACATTGGACATTTAGATTGGTTTCATCATTATTATCTTTATTTGCAAGCATGAAACATTTGAACTCATTGCAGTGTTTGATAACAATGAGCTTGAAAACCGTGCCGACTGCCAAGCATGTTATACATGCAAAATTTTAAAAATAATTTCATATAGTAATAGTATTGTAACAAATAACGTTTTAAGCGATATAAAATGTATAACATCTTTGGTCGTTGGTCGTCAAAAAGCGTTCGTGTCGACTAAAATTCTATTTGTATCCCATATCATAGACATGATCCGTTCTATAGCTCTTATTTACGATATTTTTAAACAAAATATTTCCCTTGGCTCAATGTTTTGAGTAGTTCTGAACATAATTATAAATGATTATTAAACATGATAATTAAACATAATTAGCTTAATATACTAATTCTTAAGTTAATATACTAATTCTTAATATATACTAATTCTTAAGACACTCTTTATCTGCCGCGCTATTGTCATGTTCTCCCCTTCCATGTTTATTAGTTCTATTATATGATTGGTAACTTACACTCCATATTATATTATAAGAATAATATGAATATAAAATATTATTAGTTGCTTAATAATTCTCAGCAAGGATATTATTTAGTACATAGAGTGTAATATATCATTTTATCGTTACAGGTTAAAGGTTTCATCAAAGAAAAGCGTCTCGGAGATCCTAAAGATACTGATCAGTAAATGGGAGAAAGCAAAACAATGTGTATCCTTTTGTACTGACAAATATTGACTTGAACTTAATTTTATGTAATTCATTTAAACTACTTTTGCCACCTAAGTATTAAATTATTATTGGTTAATAAGCTGTTACCAAACAAGCTTTTGTTATAATCACCTACACATGATGTAACGTCTCTGTGAACACCCATTAGAAAATTAGTTGCACTGCTTGCACACTTTCCAAGAATCATCTTTTATTATGAACCCCCTAGTCAATGATGATTGGTATGATTGGTATGTTTGGTATGATTGTCAAATCAAATTTTAATGTAATTTTTCTCACTCCAGCTGCAGTCTGGTAGTGTTGAGTCTCAGGAATATTTTTCTAGCTCTCATTTACCTTGTTTTTTAAATAAAAATCCTTAACCCAACTAACAGTCCACATTAGAGACACTCAACCTGTGTCTCCGAGCTCCCACCTCCTCTAAATACCGACCCGAACATACCAAAACAACTGCTGATTCTTCTGCAGGTTTCGCATTTTACAGAGTTTATATTTGTTTATTATTAATGTAGCAGTTTATATACTACCAAAAATATGACGATTATACACGAATTAAGATATTTTATGTTACTCGACAGTATTAATACGGGTTTATTAACAGCCGGGAAAATATTGCGAAGTTTTCAAAAACTCGTCGCATTATCCCGGTCGTAATAATGCCGAGTAAGGTATGCACTATGCAGCAGGCTATTGCACAAAAGGTAAATTCAAATCACTCTACCCTCTACGCCCATATCCAAAAAATTTTTAATTTCCTACATTCTCAATTTTTTCGTTTTCTGTGGCCCGCTCGCATAAAGAGTCTTTGTATTCGCGCGGTTCAAAGATTTTTCATGGCGGATTCCAGATTCTCAATTTTACTTTTTTAGGGCCCGGAATACTTTTTAATAGATAATCCTAGGTTACTTTTGGGGGCGAAGCCCCCGAAAATTTTGGAAATTTAAACTAGAGTTGGCCTCCTGGAACGAATCTGACAATGGAGAACGATTTTAGCATACTATTTTCTGATTTCAATTTTTATTGGGATAAATTGTCTGGATTCTAGAATCCCTAAACACTTGGCTTAACTAAAGCACGAAATAGGAGACAGCATGAAGTATCAAGAGTTTATAATTTTGGCACAAATGTTTTCTCATCTACTACCATCACTTTCTGCTTTCAAGCTATAAACTAATACAGGGTTAAGGGAATTTGGAGAAGGAAGCAAGTATGAGACCAAATATTCAAAAAACAAGGAATTTAAATTTTCCAAAAATATAATAATGACTATAATTAGTATTTACTATTTAAATAAGATAGGAAACGCAACAAAGAATGCTTATGCATTATGCATGTTTAGACGTATTACATCAACTCATAATACTATATAATGTTCTTTGAACTCCTGACATAAAGTTATTACTATTGCATTGATGACCGTTCACAACATTACATGATTGATAATGCTATTATCAAAACTGGAATGGTAGTCTATATTGGGATTTGCAGAAGTTTTCTATAGCCGCCCCCATCCCCCCATGGGTGGTTTTCAGAAAAGAGTGGTTTCTTGCCATTCTCGTAGCAACCTGTTGAACAAGCTTTTCACCCTCAGCAGAACATGGTGATGGGGCCATCAGCCTAATCTGGAGCTCTTTTTGCACTCTTCTGTCATCCCTATCTGTAATTCTTATAAGATGATTGGACCTCGGATTTAGACTTGAACTTTGGACGATTCATGATTAATAGGAAGTTCAACAACCCAATGTAAGCAACAAAAGCAAGCGGGCAGAGCGACTAATTAAAAAACTAGAAAAAGTCCAATTCTCACGCCCATTCTAGCATCATCGTACAGATTAGTTAAAACGCCCTGTTTTTCTGATATTTTCTCACGCCACACGAATTTGGGCTGGGTGTGTGCAGTGTGATACACACATTGAAGACGTGATGTGTATATGCTACTGCTTGCCAATACAGATATCGGGTGACACTGTAGACATATCCGGTTTCATAGACTAGATAAGTAGATAGTAAAATGTTAATAGAGTAATAATGACAACTATTTATGTCGTGTACGCGAAAATGCCCCAATAATTAGCATCTGGTTAGTGGTTACTTGATGCACAGATTTTGTAGCTAATAGCAACAAACTTTGGTCTGTGAAACGAAATTTGATAGACTGGATCAGTGGATCCCTGACTGAGGACATTTAAATAACGGTCCAGCAACTTTTAGTCTGCTCTTTCACTTAAATTCCTACTGAAATATTATCGAAAATTCTCAGAGTTGGCTCTCGAATTTCCTACTTTTTGTCAAAAATTTCCTACTTTTAAAAATTTCCTACATTCTTAGAATGCGAGAATGCGGGTTTTTGGATATGGGCCTCTACGATTACAGGTACTATTTTACTACTAATTTTGTCACTCAGGAAGGTTAAGAAAACAGAGTGTGTCTCTGAATTCTGAAGATACCAGTAAAAACAAAACCTCCACCAAAACCCCAATACCACGTACCAAACCAACTGCTCCAGAATCAGCTGACGAACACAACGTTATCCTTAACAATCTTGCTAATGAGGTAAAACTTAATTGTCTGCATCGAAAATTGGAGTATATCACATAGTATTGGTATGATTACGTCTCGTAATATACACTTTCTTTATTACTTCACAGTAAACTGTATCAACTATCAGTTGAGTAACATGATACTTTGGTACACATTCTGATTCAGCTCACATCCACTTGAAAAGTATTCGCTTACTTGTTGTAGTTTATAATATTACAAAACTACAGGTAAACACAGTGCTGTGCCAATATATGGCAATATGTGCTAATATGTGCCAATATGTGCCAATATGTGGCATGAAAAATATCGATTGAATTAAATACAAGTTGCTGTGATAATATATTACAATGTTCCAGGTGGACATAACGTGTAACGTGGAGGCTCCAGCTGCCGCAAACACAGTGACAGTACACAGCGAGGACTTGGGTGATGTTGTCACGGATCCTACTCTAATCGATCAGGTGAGTTAATGTGAACCTTTGGTGGCCAGAATGGTTTAACTGAAGATTTAAAATCTAAAATTCTGCAGAAATTAGATTACATGGTAATGTTAAATTGATGGACGCTAAGTACGAATATATCTGAAGTAAAGTTATAATTTGATCCGGCCTTAGCTGGTCTAGGATTATGTCTTCCACTGTCCAGTCATCATTATGTGTACCTCCAAATATGTGCTGAACATTTCACGATTTACGTTGAATGAATTATCAGGGTAAGGATCAGAATACATCGGTCACAGAAGAAGAGCTGAACGATATTATTGATTCAGTGGAACCACCACTTTCAGATCAGTCTCAAGAGACGCCCACTATCAAGAGCAAGGTAATTTGATCTTAAGTATGAACTGTCAACTGGCTTACTGGCTAACTTCCTCTTTGTTGAACATCATCATGTTTTATAATATGTGCTCTTGAACTGTAAAACTTACGCATAAGCTCAAATCCTGGGGAACAATTATAGAGTACCTCAGATTTTGTAAATTGCATTAGATTTTGTGGGTAAACGCGAAGAATTTCCCTAGCTTGCAAATTGTTAGATCCGGTTTACGGCGGGCCACTCCTGCATCTAAATTAAAAACGCGGGAAACAGGAAGCCTTGTATGTGGGACATCCGGAGTAGAATCCTTCAAGATGTCGTGACGCGCGAGAATAGTTTTGTCGACTTTATAACGCGCCAAGATCAATTATCACGCGCGCGCGCATGTGCAACGCGCGAAATTAAACTAAATTTTAGCCATGTACCAAATTCCAGCCAAGCTAAATATCTTGCCAGGGCTTAAATAACAATCGAAGCAAGGTTACTGCTGAGACAAATTTGTCGGCAGTTGTAAACTCAACCTACCACGTACTACGACCTACTCATTGGTCATAGGTTCCCAACACTTTTACTGAAAAAAAATGTTGAAATTTTTCGTTTGAGAATCAGTGAATCTTTCGTAGAGAAGTAAGTGATAAAATTCGTGTGAACCGAACTTAGCCTACAATTAAAATCAAATGTGATTTTGCGACACCAGAATTGAAGGATAACCAGCTAGTAACGTCTTCAAACCTACTTTCAGTGTCCGACGGAAGTCAGAAAACCTGGAAAAACCTTCTTCCATGACAAGGTATTGTGGCATCAGTTTAATCGTGGCTCATTTTAAAACTTCATACGTTATATTAAAATATCATTTTATTTGGTGTGTATTTCACTACTTGAGACGCTACATTTTACAGCACAAAGATACCGACGAGCTGGCTGCGGAAAAAGACAGACTTGCTGCCCTTGAGTGCTGGGACTCTACAACCCCGAGTTCGTTAACCATCGGCCACGTCTATATGAAGGTAAATATTAATCTAGTATTGCTCGAAAAATTACGTGGGATACGTCTCGGGGACATTGGAGAATTTTGTGGTAATCCTCATCCGTGAAGATGGTCTCTGACCATTCATTGTAATTGTAGATTTTAAAGGTACTATTGATTCCTAACCACAGTTTGCTCCTGTGACAAACAGCAAAGAATTCCACATAGAGTACGAGTGGAGGATTGACTCTGGAGAGACGTCCATAAACTCAGCTCACAATACCTTGTCCCTGAAGAGGTTATTCAACTTAGGAAGCACTGAGTTTCAGCGCCTGTCTAAACAGGTAAATTGTAAAACTTGCTTCTTTTTCATTTTACCGAATACTAATAGTGTTGATCTAAGGATTATTTTTAAAGCTTTCGTAACGTCAATGGTCAGGAATCCGTGACCTTTTAATATCAAGATGCTCGCAAAACACATAATTCTTCTAACTATCTGCCCACAAATATGGCTTTATTAGATTACCATCCTCAACGCAAAGTCATTTAAAAATTAATATATGGAGATGGGTAAGATGGGTATTGGATAAGATGTCAGCTCCCTCGTAAATAAGTTTTTACCATGCTGTGGCAGGGTCTCATTTAAAGGAGCATGATCAACACACAAACGAATAATTGAACATGAAACCTAAGATAGATATGAATAGCTTAACGCTTGTAAATATGATTTGTGTGTCAGAATAAAGTGTGAACAGTACAGAGGCAACTGACAGTTACTATAATTATTAGGGAATTGTCTGTTCTCTAATGATATTTAAGGAAGGAAATTTGTTTCCTGCATATATTTACATACTTATTCGCATAAGTTTGTTTTTCAGAACGTCTTAGAGCTTAAATTTTACTACTGTTTCATAGGCCTGTCACATTTTTAAATGCAGATTTATTCATACACTTTAAAACGTTGGGATGGGTAGAATTTTTAACTTAAGTTTTTAAATGAAGATTTTAAATGAAGTTCTCAACCCTTTAAATTTTAAAGAGCATATCGTGAATCGTTTAAATCTCCCACATTAAAATTTCAGCATTCACGTCACAGACTATTATAGAGTGACCGTAGATCGTTTTCGAGTGCGAAAAAACCTAATATGGATATGAAATCATTGACGACGGTACAATTGATAAGGATACCGATTATAATATCACTGGCGAAGAGTAACACTAAGAGTCGTATCTTATTGCTAATTGGTTTACTGGTAGACATGACACCAGAATAAGGTGATAAACTAACTGTTAGACATCACACCTGTCTGCAGTGACGTAACACCTACTCCTCTGCATTATTGTCTCTTGAAGAGAACACGTTAAACTTTTACGAAATGCGAACAATTGTCCTTTTCGAAACCAGAGTTATAATGTATTACGTGTCGTATGGAAAATACCGATATTCCAAAGTGCACCCCTAGTTAATCCCTAACACCCAAATTGGCATGCCTTAGGGGACCTTTAGGGTATCTTAAGGCTCAATAGTCGACCCCTAAGCTAAGGAGAAGTGTTCCCCGAATCGCACTTGTCTCCCACTTTAGGGTCAATGGTATAAATTATGTGTTCTCTCGGGCCACTACTCACCTAGAAATGATTAGGAAACTGTAAAACATAGTGATATCAATATAATCAATATTTGGGGTGCTTCCTTGAATACGTTCATCGAAAAAACTCACCTAGTCACCTGTAACATCGTATTATCATATTGTGTTATGCATTTCTCGCTAACACTGCATTTCTTGGAAAATTGTTTGTCTACTTCTATGGGGACGTGACTGTTGAATATATTGTTATCTATTAACATGGAATGTCAGATTACAGCTTCATCGCTGCATGTAAGTGTTTATGGGTGTGTTAACAAAGTGCTGCAAGAGCAGTTGTAATATTCAATATTAACCGGATCAGTACTAACCCCTTAAAATTAATATATTGGAAATATTGACATGTTTAAAATTGCTATTCAATAAACAAATTAAACATGGCATCTTTACCTACTAACAATTATAAATAAAGAACTTAAAAGGGCTTTACTATCCTTCTTCTCGTGGCAACTGGCAAGGTATGTGAGGCTGTGAGGCTGAGGGGACCACCTCAAGTCTCTGGTGGCATTGCCACATAGCTTGAAGGTATGTGTGCTGATAACAGTGCGTCACCAGACATTGCCATTGAGTGTCTGTTTGTGTGTCAACTAGAGCTGCATAGCTAGTGGTGACGACACGAATAACATGACCCTTGTACCAAATCAAATGCAGTGGAAACGGCTCTGCTTTTACTTGACCTCGAGGTGACCTGATTTAGAGGTTCTAACCCTCTCCGAAACGGGAATATATTATATTATATATTCACTTGGCTAGCTATTGAGTATTTCTAGGAGATGTGTGATCTATACATAGCACGATACATGGAGGGCTCAAGACGATGAGAACTACAAGATCCCGGTTGAACTAATTTGATCCCATATATCCCGACAGTCCCTTGTTAACACTTACAGTGTCCTTAAAGTGTCCGTCCGTTTACCGTTAGAGACCATAGTCAATTGTGCGTCGACTGTGCGTCAACCGTGAGTTTAATCAATTTTTAATGGGGTTAAACGTGTGTTAAGTGTCCGTCGACAGACTTCCAAATTGCCTATAAATTGTGTTGTATGATTTGCCCTCAGCTTGCAAGAATTCCTTGATAAGCGGGAATATTTGAAGAAGGATTTTGCTTCAACTTAAAGGGGTTAAATTTGTTTCTTAATTCCCAGTTTGCAGTATTTAGATGCTATTGTAGCTGTTTTTGACGTTGCCAAGGTATCAGCTATTTCTTATTGTGAATGTGAAGAATGTTCTTCTTCAAACTCGTCAAAAACGTAGATAATACAGTTTCTGGACGGTTCCTTATCTTAACTCCTCTAATAGTGATAGCTACCTTAACTGTTTTCTTATTCGGTAATTGTTTTGTTCTCACTGCTATTCTTCACCATATCCACTCTGCTCTTGACTTCAGTTTCTCCCGTGACTTTCAGAACAATCTGGTTGTGCTCAATTTCTGAAAGTTCCTTCTAATTTTCTTTCTGTTTTTTATATGGCCAATCTTAACGGCAGTTGAATAACGTTAATTACTACATTATTTAAACGGTCAAAATCTTTTTACGGACTATTCGAGGGACGTTCAAGAATTTTGCATTCCAATCATTAATTATAGAGTGATATCTGAAGTCATAAAAAATATTTTCTTCTCCGTCCGCGTCCCATAGATATAAAGTTGAGATAACCTCAAGGGGGCCGACCACTTACTTTAGCGGTAATCTTTTTCCTGAGAGCCAGGTTCTACTGTCCATGTCGGACAAGTTCAGGTCATATTATTGTGTTACTTCAGCGCAGGTTTTACACAAGTGTTAATTGTGTATTATTAGTTTCCTCCTCTTCAGATGTGCAATGTCGGGGATGCGTTAATTATAACGTTGTTTATAGCCGTTATTACTGATATGCAATTTATCAATAAAACATAAGTGTGAGAAATGAGGCAAAGGTGTTTTTCGGAACCTACAGATTTCATGAATTATGTTTTGGGAACCAGAAGTTCTTATTCCTACGTATGAAAAATATTGTACAACGATTATTTGGTGGAAACGCTTTAATTTTCCGATCAGTTTATATCATGGTCTTGTTCAAAATTGATTTTACGTCAGCAATACAACCCAGTCCTGAATACTGGATAAAATACAGTCTTCTGAATTCTTGAAGAAGGACCTACAATTGTCTTAGTCGAAATCTCAGCTCTAACTCAAGTGAACGCCTAAAATTGCCCAAATCAGGGCATTATTGCTAAATTACCGTGAAATCCCTAAAATAACCACACCCATCACTTCATTACCCCCACTCAAAACTTCCTGCGTTAGTCATTTGATGCCCCCTAGGAGCGGATGGGTGGAGATACTAAATATACCACGTAAAGTGTAAAACTCCCAATTTTCAAATTTTGTTTCTGTAACTCCATACCAGTAAATATGAATTTATTTTTATTGATGAAGTAGTGTCTTAAATTTTTGCAACTTGTTAAACGCGTGGTCGTCACAAAACCTACCCGAATAATATTCAAAGTCCCGTCATAGCCTTGCTTTAATGAGTTTTCCGCGCTATGGACTAATAAACAGAATAAAAAGTTCCAAGTTTTGCACTGCTTGACATTGTTGACAGGTGAATGGTGTGATCTCGGTGGTCTCAGTATTAGTATGACTGTAACCTGTATAGTGTGCCGAGGAGACACTGTTGCATGTTCTGTAGTTAACGTGCGGAAACAAAGCTATGTTTAGTAATAGGAGTAATAACAATAGAAAAATTCTTGGACTATTCCCAAACCTGCTTTCCTTCGGATAACTCTATGGAAGAAAGTCTCCTAATTTCTGATTTTCCAAGTACTACACAATAATTCTTGGAAATCGTTTTAATGCTTCTTTGGGGATATTGTCCAATTTGGCAGTTTAGTTACACAAAATGAAGAAGTTGTAGGAACTACGAGAACACATAAAGTTCGGGGGGTTATTTTGGGGCAAATCTGTGGAGCAATTCAAATACCTGAACACTCAGCTCGCATTTAATTTTAATTTTATTTGGAATCGTACCGGGAGGAAGTGAGGTCTCATCGAGCAGTCGATTGAATATTCACCTTTTTTGGATTTTTTTACATCGTGAGATCTGGTTTAACAGAATAACCCGGTATATTGTCTGGAATTGAACTGATTTAGCCTTATCAGCCCTATAATTGAAAAGGCCGTTATAATTTATATCAGATTTCAAAATAATGATGCTTATCATTATAACTTATCATATAAGCGGTCGAGGCCATGTGTACCTACTAATTACAATTTCATACTAAATTTGAAACCGGATTTTAAAATTAGAATTCTCCAGAATCTTTTGAGATTCTCAAGAATTAGGACCTGAAGAAAAATGCCTGGTAAAGCTCGATTAGTTATCTGAAGATTTATTGCATGAAATTTCGAAATTACGTAAAAAACCGAGAACGGAAAGATGTTGAAAAGAGTTAACGCTAGAGCATGACGGATCTTGATTAAGATAATTAAGATGCCACAACAAGTCGTGCTGGGTTATTAACAATCGACATTGTGGCGCGCCGCACTTTTGCTTCCGGACTACTCTCCCTCGGTACTCGCACTCACCCGGACACGATATACTGTGTTATATCTGGGTGTCTCCACAGTAGGTTGTTACTAAAAGAAAGCTGCCAAGTGTGCAGCTGACACGCCTCACACACGCCTTCAAGGGTTGTAACCTCTAACTTGTAGTCCGCAACATAAACCTGGAGAGTATGCCTCCGCACATCCCTGGTTCTGAGGGTCGTGGCAGTTTAAAATCTGAGTTTCAGGAGAATATCTCAAGGCTCACCGTCTGTTCGGTCTTTGGAAGTGTGTCGGCCTATTAACAGTTTAAAGTATACTGTTTTGACAAGGCTTCACGGCTTCAAATTTCGGGTTCAAAGCGGAGGTCGGCATGGAAATACATTTAGAGACCTTATCAAATGAAATACCGTGAATTGTTATATCTCACCGCAGGGAAAGTTCAAAGACCTGTTCATTACCCTGAACATGGACAAGTGGACTAGCATCCTGCCTAACAGCAAATCTGTGGAAACGCAGACTGACATGTTGGAATCAGCCCTCCCCAAGCCACAGGTGACTAATAAATTAACTTAAACTTACTTGTTTTTATTAAACAATTAAATTAACTTACATTTTAACTTAAACTTACTTGACTACCTGACCTTATTAATATTAAACAGCGTATTATACGTGTCAAGGGAATTGCAACTTTCGTGTTACAAATAAGGTGACAAAAAGTTGTTTCGAATGCATGTTTAACGGCTCCTCCCTATGACCTGGCCCTACAGACCAGTCTTCAACACAAAGGGGGAGTCTCTGGAGTACGTGATTTCTTTTAAAATCACGACTGATGAGAATCTGACAAGTGACAGTAAACAGAGATTGAATTTTTAACATAAATTCTAATGGTAACCAAGTTCTAATGTTATAATAGCTGTTGGGACAGTGGGAGAGTTACTGAACAGGTCAGTTGAGCTGTCCTGCACATACCAGTAGCATTACGTGGTAACTGGTAAATAGTGAAGAATGAAAAGTCACAGACTCCTTGACTCTTCGGATTATAAATGAAATGTCTTTGCCTCTATTTCAATTCTCTATGGTTTCTCTGTCTGTCAAACGATTTACCAGCATCTACTCTAAAGCGCCAGTCACAGACAGATTGTTTGCACTAAAAAAGCATTCCCGGTGCTTCGAATCAGCCTTGTTTCGGCAGAGAGACGGGTAATTTCTACAATATGCCAATAATCCTGGGATCAGGGATCATTATGATACACTAGTAGTGTGGGAAGACATTTGATTGTTTGAAACTTTCAAAACTTTCAAATCCACTACTACAATATATTTTTCTGAGTAAAAAGCTTTTCAATTTCGGCATAAAAGTTGAAAAGGTTTTGAAGGGTTGCCACGGATCTGATAGCTGCGTTTTGATAGGCGAGTATTATTAGAAACAGAGGTTATTTAGTGTCGAGGACAGAAGAACCTGACACGATTTCGACCGAGAACTGGGTGGTACTCGTGTCAAAAACTCGTCGCTACAATGGACAAATAGAAAATTTACCTTCCATTATTAGCTTCACCGCGCTGCCTTGACACCTGTAGATCTCCGACAAAGTGACTCCAATCACAGAATAATTGATCACACTACGTGCCCTGCATTTCCTCATTATGGTTAAACCGCGGTTAGGTACCTACTAGGGTTGTGTCCTATGTATGAACGTGTTATACGTCGTGTCATATATCCTAATCAAAGTGCTTTACACCGGCGCTACATGTGCTTTACACCGGCGCTATATGTGCTTTACACCGGCGCTACATGTGCTTTACACCGGCGCTATATGTGCTTTACACCGGCGCTATATGTGCTTTACACCGGCGCTATATGTGCTTTATACCGGCGCTACATGTGCTTTACACCGGCGGTATATGTGCGAGTGTTACACAAACAATTAATAACACCTCTCCTCCGCAGGTGGTATCAGTTGCAGTCCAGGTGGGCAAGGACCGGCTCATCCTCCCGCAGCCCACTAAGCTGGGCGGGTTTATTGTGCCCGCTCCTGTGCTACCTCCTCCGAACATGGCACCTAAAACCCCTCCCAGCTCCTCTTTCAACTTACCCAACCGGCCTAAAACTAAACGAAAACAAACTGTTAGTACATTTTAACCCTGAAAGTATTCTTGCCCTTTCGCTGCTTGTTTTCAAATAACTTGAATTCTTGTGTCAAAAATGTATCCAAAAACAGGAATTCCAAGAATTTTCCTAACATTATTCGTCTCATCCCCATGCAGATACAACGAGTTTTGCTGCCCAAGCCTGCCCTGAACGTTACTTCAACACAACTTGTCGTTCCACGAGACATAGGTTAGAGATATAATGGATAGTATTTAACCCTATATTTAGAACAAGTTTATTATGTTTACTACCTCTTATAATATCGGTAAAACGAGTGAGCTGTCAATGACTCTGCCGGAGTATGTTGTTACTCTACTCTACTTTATATGATGATTTATGTATCTAGTGCGAGCGGCCAATTATATTTTGCTGCGATGGAATGCAATGTTATTAACGGCAAAAAGGAAGAATGCAAATAACAGCATGCCAAATTTTTATGAAGAAAGTGATTGGACAATAGAGAAGCTAAGAATGCATCCATTGAGCCCAACCTTTGTAAAAAACCCAGTGTGCACTTCAAACCAACTCTTTAGAGGCTGGAACACCATAAGAAAATCATCGTATGCTGTTCATTGAATGAGGATGGTGTTTACTGAATGAGAATACTAGATTATCAGTACATCGACACATACCGTTCTGTAAAAACCAACTCCACGGGATTATGCATCTAAAATTACTCTGTCACGTACCGATCACAGAAAAATCCCGATTTACCGTACTTTTTTTCTTTCCCTCATAAATCGTGCGATAAATTCAGGTTTCACTGTGTCATGAAATAAATTTACGGAGAGTACCGCGATTTACAATCTATTCTGCTTCAGGCTGTGCCGCGCAAGTGAAAGCGGCGCCATTCTGTGACGCCAATATCTCTACCACTACGACTTCTAGCTACGACTCCGGGAACTTGACAGTTTCAATTGGTGGTGCAGGCGGCTTGGTGGCGCCAGTAGGCGAGGGAGGAGGAGTTGATTTGAGCTCATTGGTACCTGACATTGGTCACGACAAACAGGTTGACTAGTCCTGGTTTTTAATTACAAATCTTTACGAGTTCTTCTTCTAACTCTTTCATCATTTGTCTTCCTTATATGGTCTCAAAAAAACTTTAATTCTATTGTAGGACCACTGGACCGCTGCCTAATTTCGTAACAATGACTTAATTGTTAACTTGCTGATTTCTGATTAGTAACAAGTTATATTACATGTATAGTTATTAATAATATCTCTCCTCAGCAGCTGTACAAACATCACCTGTATTGTGATCGACAGTTTGGAGACATCATGAATTACTCTCAGTGCAACGTAAGAATTTAAACCCTGTGAAATTTGTAATTGAAATATTTAAGTTTCCAAGTAAAATCTGGTTTGAATAATTCACAAAAGTTTGGTCCTTCATATCACTCCTACAAACTTTCCATCAACAAAGCATTAAGCCTGTAAAATATGTTTTGACATGAAAACTTTTCTTTGTATATTTTATCCCATTCCGTCGTGACTTTGTAACTAGCTGGCGATGAAGGCAATGATTAGGCAAGTATCTCCCCTATTATCACTACTTATACACTTTATCCACCAAGGTGGCTTGTCTGTTACAATGTCTATTATAACAGCATTTATCTGTCTTACGCATGAAGCCGACCACTCAGTAACTGGACTTATCTCTTGGATTGCTGTCTGGCAGTCTGGGGAAAGTAACTTTTAGTGCGAACACTACCGGGATTCTGGCCGGATCAAATCTATACAACCACACATTTATATATTACAACTTCAAATACCAGAGATTTGGGGGTTCATTTAGGGAGGGATCTGGCTTGCCAGTCGCAACATAGTACCGTCAATATTATCCCAACAAATTCATACTGGAAGCTTTAACAGTGTAGCCCCAATGGCGTTACTGAGTAGTGAATGAATCTGGTTTTTGCAGGGATACGATTCAACAGAAATGACTCCGTGGAACTCAAGTGGAACGGTAAGTGAGAAATTATTTCCTTCTTGAAAATCAGAGTCGGACGAAATAGTACAGGGCGAGATGAGCCAATATGCATACATTGTATCATGTCTAACAACAGTTCAAAAGAATATACTCTTAATTTTATAATTTTACTACTGAGTACTGAGTACAGTGTTTTCAGCTGTCCTTAAGGGGGCAGGGGGGTCTCCATGAAGATCCCCCTTACCTAACACCCCCTTCATTAAATACTGAGAAATTTTGACTTTACTTCAAATTTTCCCATTTGTAAAAAAATCAGAAATGTTTATAGATGTTGGTTGGTAAAATCTGCTCCTATCTAAATCCAGGTTAATATAAATCATTATCAACATTGGTGCTGTGAAATAATTTCGATAAAGCTTATCAGACCATTTCGTGTAATCTTTTTTCTCCCTTTGAGCAAGCAACTCTCCTGGCCCTCCCTAGGTGGTTCAAGTAATATGTAAACGGTCGTAAAATGTAAAAAATCATTTGAAAGTATAAATTTTCAAGATTTGCTGGTTTGAGATTATTGTAGAGTATTATAGAAGACTGTAATCTTGGGAGGGAACCCAAGCTACGTGGGATGATAGTATGGATTTTAACGGGTGATGCGAATGTTCGAGATTGCCAAATTTTATGCAGCCTCTAATGCAGCATACTAACTCAGTAATTAAATATGATTTATAATGCTTATGTTGGAGGTTATTTCTTGCGAAATGTATGGTTCAGCAGCCCTAAATAACCTTGATTGATAAATAATGATCTATGTTATAATTATGATATCTTATAACATATTTAAAGATAATTTTAGTCTAAATATTATGTTTTTTGCTCTAAAAATACGCAGTCTGTTTAGAGTTAAACAAGAATGCCTTGGTATATCTATACTGACCAAACTAAGGTTTAGCGTCATTTTAAGTTTAGTCGGTAAAATTTTAGTGCATAGGTGTCAGACGGCATTGATAATTGAAGGAAATTTGAGCTTTTAAGTTTAGAGAAAAAAGCATGCAGACTACCATACTGGGTCTTCAAATTTAAATACCCGATAAGTGGTGACATCATTGGGGATGAATTTATTAGCTAATTTATGAGAAGTAAAGCGTCCGCTAGTGTATTATCCTGACTAGAATTTATTGTGAACTAGTCTTGAGCGGTGAATGAGATAAAGTACAAGCTTTTTCTCAGGGAGAAGCGATGTCAACACTCAACAGCTTGGTGGCGGAACACAGCAATCACTCGCTCACTGGAGACTCGCGTGGCGTGCCTAACCCTCGTGACCCTATGACGTCACGAGATATGATGACGTCACGTGATCATACCATGACGTCACACGATGGAGCAAGAGCGGTTCCGAGTAGTATTTTGGACGATTTGGGTTATCACACCTGACAAAAAACTTCCAGACTGTCAGCCGTCCTGTTCCGAAATTGACAAATGACTTCATTTGCCATTGAGTACTGATAAAAGAAACCATAAAACCGATCAATGTTAAAGATCAAATTATTGATAATAATAGTAATACCGATAATCGAAACTATTTACCATACAAACAAGATTTTAACAGGATACAGTACAGTTAAAATAGACTTTACGTAATTGAAGCTTGTTTGCTCCGCAATATTCCACCTGAGGTATGCTTTCCAGTCAAGGAGCCGCCCCCGCTACTGTGATCTAAATCGTGTTATAATATTCGCACGGATGTTTATTCTAGCAGCAATATCCCTTTAAGGTCTCTTTTCAACTCATTCACTCGGCCTTATGCCGTGTGCGAGCTGTACCAAACTAGAAGTCCTGTAATGAGCATTTTGTCACTTGAAACGCTCAGCCATAGCGCTTAACGAAACCCTACTATTCGATATGTGAGTAGCTAGACTACCTTCGGTTGTCTCTACTTAGTTTACTGTTGTTTCGACCTTTTAGTGGTTTCATTCTTTAGTGTTAGACCACATCATTTATGGTAAACTTTGTTCTAAACTATCTTTAGATTTTTTACCTCGAGTTAAAGTTTCGTTGTATAATTTTATTACTAGGTATTAGAATTTCTATTTTCGGTTAGTACATTATGTGGTCTTTAACTATTCTTTATTGTTGATACGACTACGTTTTAAAACTGTCGGCATTATCTATAATTAAGTTTTATCAAAGCCTCGAGAGCAATGCGTGTTGTCTATTGAACCTGCATTTTAACCTAAGAATAGAAGTACGTACCTTTAAAATGGCAGTGGTACGTACCTTTAAACTGAACCAGAAGGTACAAAAGCCACAATTCAGCAAAATTTTGAAATTCGTGGCGAGTTAAAAATTGTCTGCTGTTCTGAACTTTTTACTCTGATCCAAGATTATTTAACTGCCATGATGCTGGCAGTCTACAGCATTTGCTTAATCACGAGATTACGAAATAAGCTATTAGTTTTATGCAGTATTATACGTTCGTCACCCATATTCCTTTGCTGCTGTGTCGACTTTCACAATATTTTGCCTAATTCAGCAACTTGAAGTTGAGTAGATAAAATACAAAATTAAAAAGTTTCCCATTTATGTACCGCAAGAGGAAAGGTACGGTTCGTACCTTTAGGAAAGGTTGTACCGTACTTACTTTAAGCCGGATACCGTACGTACTTCTCATCTTAGATTTTAACTAACTTCCTGGTATCAATTTTCCGTTCAAAAATATTTTCCTATCGTCATTTTTTGACTTTAGTTTCCGGTACAATGAATTTGAATTCTGTCTTAAAAAAGCTAAAATATTGACAACCACAGTTTGAAAAAGAAGCCCTGTTCAGTTTAGTATTGCTTACGAGGCTCTGATTAAATTTATATGAAATAAGTACTGTCTAATTAATTGATTTAGTCCCTCACCTCGCCCGGGCTGCGAGGTACCAGGGACCTTTCCAACTAATCTTTGTACAGTTTATCACATTTACCCTCAATCTAAATTGTATTGATATTTCAATTATATCCAAATTTGAGATGTGAGTTTTTCCATTTGTACGACGTTTACACACGTCATTGTATGGAGGATCATGGAGGCTCTAATAATTGACTGCTCAAAGAATTCGTCCTGTTCTCCTGAATAACAAGCTTCCTTTTCTCACCATAAAGTTAGTGACTCCTATCAAATAAATGGCGGATCACTTAAAGGTGGATTTTTTACAGGACCCAGTCAGTGTGATGTCCCAGAGTTGACAGTACCCCTCAGGATAACGTCAAGATCTGCTGCATCACACTTTCTTCACCCCCCTCGCTCCCCTGGTACTGTGGCTATATTTAGATATTAAGAAATCTTGGTAAGTGTCATGATCTCTTTATTTGACTTTGTTGTCAGAAGTTGTAAAACCTCTCAATTCAAAATGGGACTGGTGTCTAAAGTTGTACAGCTGCGTTTGAATCACCATGACAAGAAGCCGGATTTAGATATTAATACCGTGCGCAAAAATGGAATCACGTGTCAATATGGGTTGAGTCACGTGACATGGGACCAGTCACGTGAGATAACACGTGTTATCTCCTTCACGGAAACTGTACAAAAACAACAGTACCATAGTCTAGATCCCGGATATCCTGCCGGATCTAATTGGCAAGGAGTCAACAATTTTCACTCTTCTGGTCTGGATTTTGATCCGCTCAATAGATTTCCGATGATGGTACCAATCGACTTGCGGATAGTGGAAGTGTATTAGCGACAGGCGGTAATTTTTAGAAATAATCGAGCTCAGTTAACTGAATCCCATAAGTAGTACAGTGTTTCTGCCTACCTCTAACCAAAAAATACCATAGAATTGCCTCTCCTCACCGCCGCGTGATCTCCTCCACGCTGATTGGCCGCGCGGAGAGCACGTGTTAGCCCAGCTGACCATTGATTGGACGACACGAGGGATTTCGTGTAAAAAGTAGAGAGATCATGCAGTTGACAGGGTAGTTGGGAAGGATGAAGCCTGCTAAGTTACACGATCATCCGCGCTAATTCGCTCTATACGAGGGTAGCTATCTGTTGGTGGATCTGTGAGGCGGCCAGGCAACCTGCCGGCTGGTTAGCTATCTCCTCTCAACCCCCGCTACTACTCTGTCCCCACCTCTCCATCTAACCCTCACTTCAACTCCTCTCTCTTACATACGTTTCAGCTGACACATTTTGACTTGCAACCGTGGAATTGGTATTTTAGATATTCGATTAGTTTGATAGTAATGCTTCTGATATCTATCTTTACCCATCCCTTTGTGAGGTCATGGACTTGATGGTGCCTGCGATCGTATCTCTAATACTGATAGTATCTTGTACTACCGAGTGGTTTACACAATTATCTTGCTGCTATTTTTATCGCGTTGGTTTCTTGCTCGCGTTGCGGTGAATTTTAATTGTTTAATAGTATTTCACTTTTTAAAAGTTCGTGATTCCCAACGTTTCCTATGCTCGGTATTTGATATTATATATTGATTCCCCTCAATGGAAACCAGATAGTTATGCTTTTCCCTTCCACTGAAGCTTTAATAATATAATATTAACATTTTCTCTTGGCTGTCTTTAATGAATATAACTTCAAACTGCCGACTTAACAGCAGTTTTTGGTTTCCTTTAGTCCGGCGGATTCCCTGTTGAAGTATAAATACTCGGCAAGATGAAAAGTTGCTCAGGAAGGTTAATTTCTTTAGGGTAGTACTACATAAGTTTCAAACCTGGATTCTTGTTAATCAGCATCCCTCCAATATTGGGGGTCAGTCCGTAATTCAATCATCACTCTGACGCAATCTCGTAAACCGTTGAAATGCAGTAATCAATATTTCCCGCATATACCGATAATATGTCCCCAAATAAAAAATTATCAGGTCACCCGGCAGCTGATCATTCTCAAAAACATCGTTTCAAATCCGGCCTATGAAATAAACAGGATTTCCTGTAATTATGCACACTAATTATCCGGGATCTGATAGACTTCTTGACCTGCTCACACATTATTATTAAGTCACACACATTTTTGACTCGTCGCGTTTAGATGTTTCTCTTTCATCACCGTGAAGCACTCTAAAGGCTGAATTTCCTGTAGTGATAGAAAAGAGATAGTGCGTGTGTCGCCCCCAGAGTTTGTTCTCTTCTGGACCTTTACATTTCTGTACCGTCACACTCCCTCTCTCTCTCTCTCTCTTTCTCTCACTCCCTCTCTCTCTCTACCTCTCTCCGTAGCACGAGTCGCAGTTCCTACTGGTAAACATGTTACTGTTTGCGACAATAATGTGTTCTATATATAGTTCCATACCTGTGGCTTTTAATCTTCGTAATAGTTGTCCGGATTCATGTGTACTCCAAGTTAAAATCTGACAAATTGTATCCGGCCCGATCTCACCTGTGATTCCTTGGAGAGGTGTGTTTTTTTTTGAGAGGAGTAATTTTAACAAAAGAGGAGATTCAGAACGGAGTATTGTTTTCGTCTATCGATTTTTAGACAGCGCCATTTTAATTTTCACTCCCTGACACAATGTATGGCTTTCAGTTGTAATCGTAAGTTATCACCCATTATCAATGCAAGTTTAATCATTACGGGAATCCGAGGTTGCGGTTTTCATCCTTTCCATGGCTTGGTACAGCGTGCAAGTTGTGACTCTTACAGACAGTAACTATATTCTTCGCAGAATAAATGTTATAGTTGAAAACTGAAAATTTTAAGCTGTGCCATAGTTTTTAAAATTGTCAGTCTCATCAATAAGAAATTGTGGGACCCCTGTGGCCTGTTAAACAAATTGTTCGTGACATTTCACATTAAATCTGTCAAATTTTAAACTTCTGTCAAACACGGATTCAGCTTAAGGTTCATTCAACTCTGTTGCTGGGCAACTTTATCGTGCTTAAAGTTAATTGTGTTAATTGTTGATTTTCTGGCTAACAAATTTCGTATCGTAATTCTATACGATTTGATAAAATTATGAAACTAATCGAATTTTCTAATAAAAAGGAGCGAAGAACTTTCCCCTTTGAACATTGACGTTCATGATAAAATATTAATCGCCCACACTTCACCCACTGTACCAATATGGGTTCCGTTTTATTCACTTATTTTCACACATTAACGGGGCTTTCTTGAACCATTGCTGTACTTTTACCTGCCAGGATTCAGAACGTTATCACTAAAATTAATTTCAAATTACGGCAGATAAATCCCCCAACGTCTGTCATTGGCCGGAACTAGTCACGTGATCAGTAAGATGGCTTCTTACTGGTTGATAGCTGATCTGAGACGGAGTGGCGGGCCGCCGATGATCATCCGGGATTACCTCACAGAATTTGACCCCTTATTTTTTTTCCTAAGAGGTGACCGTTCTCATGGTATCGTTTTTTCTTTCGACATATTACGTAAATTTATCTGTATCGTCCATCTCATATCTCGAACTTCTCAAATATCGGTTCATTTAATTTATCAGACTCAATTTGAATTAGTTCCTTTCTTTAGACAAATTTTTAACGTATGGCGATCGTTTACGCTGTTTGTATGTTGTACTACTACTCATTTGTTCCTATTATATCTGAATGCGTCTGACCTTTAATTTTCGCCCACTAAACATTCCCCCAATATTTTCATTGTTCTGCACTCCGTTATACGAAGTGCTAGAGTATCGCAGGAGGTATTGTTTATTATTATTTTGCCGCTCTTCAACCGTACGACCCACAGGTCACAATTTATTAACCTTTTTTCGTTTCTTTGAAGTCTGAAAATACTGCTAAATTAAGATGAGGTTGACTAGAGGATGGTACACAGCTCAATGATTTCATGCTCCTGTCAATGGAACCCCTACTAAAGGTTACATTTTGAGAGGTCATTATTTGTCTAAAAAGGATGATCTGGTGAAAGGAGCTAAATCATTTGTCCTGGGATGGTCGGAACTGAGCATTGAAGTGCGGTGTCCCGTTTATATCGTCTGTTGTTATATATCTCGTGCATATAGTTTGAATTGTTTAATACTATTTTAGTCTTGAAACGTGATTTCAAGAATACTTAACATTACCGAGCATCAGGTCGCAGGCCTCAATGACCCGTTACGATTATCATCTCATTGTACCCAGTCTTTATCTTTGTTCCGTTACCCATTTTTGTATTTGTGGCGACTGATCTCAATTCTGAGGACGTTGATTTGCGCTGTAATTCAAATTTCAAATACATTCAATTCAATTCCAATCCCGCACAAATACAATTAAGCTCCGTTTGAAGATTGGTTTTTACTTTTTAACATCAGTAATTTGGTCGCTTTTTGGTTGATTTAATTTAATTTTATCATTTGAAATGTGCTAAATGTTTTGTTTACTTTGTTAAATTTTATTTCGTTCAGATTTCAGAATGTTTTGGATAACAATTGTTTTGGCCGTAACACGGCTACTATACGTATCAGGTTGGTAAACTTTTTAGCTTTTCTTTTGTTAAATTTATGAAGAGTTAAAGTTACATCATTCAAATTGTAAATAAGAAAGTTTAATAACTAGTATAATAAAATTTTCCTTCCTTTTTTAACAACACATCAGCCGAGTATACTCTACTCCAATTGTGCCTCGATGCTAAATTCTAATCAACCATAATTTCAGCCCTGGAGTGTTACCACATGAACAAATACGGAGCCAGTAAACTCATTATCTGTAGAGGATACTGTGCTAGCATTTCAGCTGTGGTAAGTCCTTTTTTCACTCGTCTTTTTTACCTTATCAATTCTCCTTGTCGGCTTGTCTGTTCTTTAGATTCTCCTGTCACTCTCTCCCTCTCTCACTACTCCTCCCTGCCCCTTCTTACTTCAACATATCCACCACCACTAATCTAGCTTCAATTGCTCATTGTCTCTGGATGATCTAGACTAAATTAGTCTACTTATAGTCTAATCTAGTCTAATTCGCATATTAACCTACCGAATAGACTCGTTTCAAGCTCAACTCCTTTCAACCGCTCCTCTTCCATTCATGATAAAACTAACGTCATTATTATCATAATCCCAATTTCTGATATAATCGCTGTGGTATCCACAAGGAACTGCAAGCTAGTGATCCATGATCTCCCTCATATTCCCAAGAATTCAGCTAGTGATCGACGATCGTTAGGTCCTAACCCCCTCTCTTTTCATCAGGTAGCAAACAACAACCTGGCGGAAGTTAACTACTGCGTCCCAGAACGACGGTGCTTAGCCGAGCTGGACTCCCGGCAATTAAGTTAGTTCAGTTCAATCTCCTTGTTGTTTTCTGCCCCGTCTACTGCTCAGCTTTAAAATAGATATGAGATATCACAGAATGATCTAGGACAAAAGATATGTGTGTTGTAATATTAGAGGATGGTGTGTTAGGCCGGACGGGAACTGCAACAATTCCAGGTCAGAGCAGGTCTGAGCTGACTGGGTTCCGTGGTCCTGCAGCCGTCTCATGTAGTTGAGCTAATTTAAATCTCCATACTTTACTGTCCAGACTACAGCGTAAAACCACACAATACCAGCCAGATTCACAGCTCCATATTCCACGAGATATCAAGTGCACTAGACCTCTGAAACTTTTCCAGTGTAACTTCGTCACACTTTCAGCATTACAGCTTTATATATATTACATACGTTGAGAGTGCTGATGAATAACAACTTGATAACAGCTCGTTTTAAACCGCGAAATTATGGCAATCATAGGTCTTGCAGTGGCGAGTAATTAGTCAACTAACGATTTTGTTAGCAGTACAATTTGAACACTGGGTGTAACCCTGTGTCCAGTTTTGAGGTAGAATTGTGCTGTAATTCGATCGGTTATGAATATGAGACATGAAAACCCATCTCTATTATGAAATATCAATTTCAAGAACCGTTATCTGTCACTATCCCGGTCATTATATTTAGCATAGTCCAGGGAGAAATAGACGGAGTTTAAGCTCCTGATCTAGCCTAATAGATCTCAATCCTTAGACATTGTACATATCTTTATCAAGTCCAAACTAAGAGTATAAGCTATTTAACACAAAATGTCGTCTAACTAAACTCTTTTTTCAGCTGATATGGGTAGTCTGATATGCAGAGGGTTGATAGAGAGTGCAAACCCAGGGGCCATCACTCGGTGCCGCGCGGCTGTTTGTCAAAGTGACGGATGTAACAACTACAACTTCAGAAGTGATCCTGAAATGGTGAGCTCCATTTTGATAGTTACTTTTGTCCCCCATAATTAGTGCTTGTTACTTTTAATCATACCCAATTATGATTCGTCGCCGTATTCTTCTGATTTCGTGGTAAGAATAAGATAAAGTTTGTATTTAAACTTGTTCCGGCATTATCGTAGTTGTTTCATTTTGGAAGTGTCAAACTTCAGGATTCTATAAAAAGAAATTTTAAAGGATTCAATGAATTTAAGATGCTAATGAGCTTGGTATCGAGAAAGTCTTATTATTCTTCTAAAATATTTGTGTAAAAAATGTCGATAAAATGCAAGTTCGATTTCTGAAACGTGACCTTCCCTCAGAACGATTGCAGTTTACACCAGTGTTCGAATGCTGCGTGCCATAACCCGGAGGAACTTATAACCACAATTGCTCCTCCTATTTCATCTACATATGGTAATTAATACCAATTAAATTAAACTTACCAGTATTAATTAAATTTCACTCACCATTGATTATTTGAGATTACAAATACAGTATTTATCAAACTTTACCCCTTTTTCGTGTGAAGTTCTATAAATGAGGATGATGTAATGCTCATGGCTTCATCCGAGAAGATTTCGTTTTATTGTTCGTCATTGCTTGGTTCTAGATCATGACAAATTTGAAATAACCCGGTATTCATATCATATGGTGACATCAGTAAATTATATAGCATAAATAACAATTTTAGAACTTTAGTCATCCCTATAGTTATAGATGTTACAATTTTATTACCTGATAATGGACTATCTAAACTTTCCGATACAAGACTAAACGCTGTCGTAATGACTTTAACTAATTTTGCAACTCTTATTTCAGCAACTGTCTCCACTCCGCTTAGAACAGATGATCAGAAGATAATTACCGATGAGCCGGCACCATCGACTCTAGGAAGCTCTGATGGTCAGCCGGCCACGGAGAAAGCTAATCCCGAATTTGAAACGACCGGTGCGACCACATCCGGCAACGAAATCACAACTAAAGCTCCTGTTGTCACTTCTGAAGCCAGTAGGTTTCCCTTTCACCTTTACGAATGAGTAATTCATGGTTACAATATAAATCGTTACAAATTTATCGATGATCGTGCAAAGTCTTCTCCTCTCCTTTTAGTGCTCAAAAAATTCAAACGAAAAATGATCCTCGGCCAAAGATGGCTTGGTTAAACTTTTATGGCTTGGTCTGCTAATTTCTGAGTGTCATCTGGTCGAATCCGTGTTTAAAGCTTATGCCATAAGACTTCGCACGATAGTTTCAACGTTTTACGGCTTTTTTTGCCGAGTCTTGAACTTGAAAGACTTTCCTCTTATTACAATAGTGAATAGAATATAGAACGCGCCCATGTATTATGTATCCAAAAACTACAACCAATTTAGCTTGAATACCCCCATGCCTGGCGTTGCAATTAACTGGCTCTCAAACAATGGTATTTCAGAAATCGAGACAGAGAAGCCCTCAACAACAACTGCGCCTAGTACCTCCCCGACTGAGAAACCTGCAACTGACCCTGCAACTGACCCTAAACAACCTACCACCGTCAAGGAAGAAATTCCAGTTCCTAACACAACGATGACTGAAGAGCCCGAGGTAATTACCGAAAAGGAATCCCCGACTACTCCCGAGAATGAGCCGACGACGGCCAAGCCAGAGACCGTGGTGCCGGTTGAAGAAGAGGCTGTAACGGTTGAAGAAGAGGCTGTAACGGTTGAGGAAGAGGCTGTAACGGTTGAGGAAGAGGCTGTAACGGATGAGCCGGCATCTGTAACAGATGCGCCAGAGGACCTTACAGATGAAGAGCCTACTTTGGATGACTTTGGTACCATTACTCGTGGACCACCACTCGTTCCAACCGACTTCAAAGAAACCGGATCTGTGACCAGTTACCCGCCAACCATGGCAGAGGTCACGACTGATGGTGCTAGTACGACCGAGGAGGTTGTTATTGAGTCAACTGACTTTTCAGAAGTGATCACTGTCGATGTTGAATTAGGTTGGTACATGATTTTATATACTACATATTTTGATTGTGTGGTCCATGGTTGAATTGGTGCACGTGGATAAATTAACTTGAGCACAACCTGATGTAATCATTAAATACAGTGATGAAGGATTCAAGTAACTATTGAAATGTTTAAACACATCAATTTCGCTTTAACAAGCCGGTATCTAAGTAGTGGAATTGTCATCAATACTCTAGTTTAACTATGACTAGACTCCCTTAACAAAGTTGATGACGAGTTGCTCATTAACGATTATCCTCGCTTTTCAGGTGCCATTACTGATGATCAAAGCACTACGGATGTCGTGGATATAACGAGGACTCCTTACTTGAGTAGCAAATTCAAAAACTTTATCGGATCCTCGTAAGTGAGATTTATCGCTACACGCTAATTCAGTAAAACTGGTTATTATAAAAATTTGTGATAAAATTGAACATGAAGGATTATTAAACATGTTAAAATGAGCATGAATAATGGTTATCGTGTCCCTTGATTTTAATAAAATTGTCATTTTCCTATTCTACATCCCAAAACAAGGAACGTTTTTTCGATTTGCAAATTTACATTATTCTTCATTCCAGGCAACCCGAAAATGGGTACATATCAAACAATTCTATCGAAGAAGACGTTGAAATCACCAACCGTGACACAGTCAAAAGCTCAGGAATCTCAGGAGTATCCGCTTCTTATCTATCCTTATCTATAATCCTCCTTGCCAGCGCTGTAATCCTGTGAGCACTCCTCACTCACCCCAACAACTCCCACATTCCTTGTCTGGAGAGTGAAATGACGCGTCTGTAATTTATATCACTGATCAGAAGTTTTGAGACCGCTTGGAGACCTTCAAGTTCCGGAGTTAGTGAACCCGAAAACTCTCCGAATTTGATGATTGGAGATGACTTGAGTGTCATCACGACTTGTCGTGACCGTGAAAATGAAGGCGTAATGCTGAAAATCGACCTTTATGGATTGGTCTTCAATTACGACTGGTTTTGAATAAACTCATTATTCGATGATTTGCTGGCTTATCTTAGTTCGAAATTTAGATTTAGTCGAGAACTTCATTTTTACGGCTCAAGCAAGGACGTTACCAAACTATTGTCATAAAATTTTAACTAATTTTATATGTTTATATCATTTACTTATGAAATAATTTTACAAGTAATGCTCAAACCTATGTTTTGAGTCTTGCTTTACATTTTGTACATATCCATAATATTATTCATAATAATATGACAGTCATGATTTTATACATGAGTGGTGATAATAATGATGATTTGACCACCCACAAGTGTGGTTCACATCAATTCAGTTTTCTCATACAATTTTTAAACGTGGCCTGGTCTGGGGATTTAATGCCGTGCAAGGCATTCCGTTATTCTTCCGTCCTAAACTGGGTGCTAAACCTTGAAGTAAAACTTATTTGGATTTTGATATTTTTGTACCCTTAAAAGCATGAAACTTGCTCGACAGCTTGACTAACCCCCATATTTCATCAAGATTGTTGATTTTTTTTTCATACTATTGAATTTTGCAAGATTTTGTATTTAAAACACGGGTACTGTTATTTGCTAAATTAAGCATCGTTTAGTGCTTTCAATGAACTGTATGATTTATGAGTTAAATGTAAATGTACAAGCAAAACTGATAGATGTTTTGCTGACCGACAGTGTTATTGCTGATTAAAGATTCTAAATATTCTATTTTTAGAAAACAACCAAATGTGTTCAATTTTCTTTCGTCGTATGATAATGAGATAGCAAATTTTACGGCTAGTTCAAAAGCGTGCATATTTTGTCCTCTCGGCTCTGACGTATAAGAACACCCCAGTAACTGCTAGGATGTCTCATCTCTGTTCTTGACATCCTGGTGTGGCCCGTAATTACCGGTGATCTTTGCTAAGGCATATTGCTACAGTACTAATTATTTGGCTCGACTTTTGTTACTGTCACTGTTACATCATGGCACTTGTATAATACTGTACAGATACAAGATCTATTGACGAAAACCATGACCAAGCTTCCTTTTGCTCTTTTCCTGAACTTATCAGCTTTAGTAATTTAAGCTGATCTAGTGTTTCCTTCCCGGACGTACGTGACAGAGATACCGTCTGGAGATATGAAGCAATGTCTGGCAGTTACGTACATCTCACGTCAATACAGCTCTCTCCAGAACGTTCGGTAGTTGTGAGGAAGCTGACAAAGGAAGATCAAGATATGATATCTGTTCAGTGTTCACTCTTAACATCTGTCATCGCAACGGGAGACGGGGGAACATGTGAATGTCAACGCGATCTCGACTGCTCAGCGGCTATCGCGCTCTCTAATTTCTATAAATAGTATTTTTCGTTATCTGTGTGAGCTAACCACAATTACGTCAAATCAAAGCGAGCTAAATACAACAGCTGTGATTAAATGAACTGCTAGTACGGGAAAGAGATTAAATTGCACGTCATATCCTGTATTGATAATAATATTGAGAGGAACACGACATGATCCCCGTGGCCGTACAATTACAAACAACAAACAGGAGATGTATTGAGCATTTTGGCCTTTAAGTTACAGTTACACTAGGTCCACTTTGACCGAAAGTGACCAACATTTATATTTTACGGCCTAATTTTACTGGTCTTAAGATTGACAACTTTTATCAACTGATGAATTATAAACTGCAACTTTACATATTACGTAATCGATCACTGAGGGGGGAGGGAGGAGGTTTCTAAATTATTACGGTATTGGGTATAATGTATCATGTATAGTACTAGTAGTGCCATTTTACCACATGTACAATACATAATAGCTATGATTATGTGACATGTGTAAAACTGATTATATATAATATTACGCCATTACTGAGGGGGACTGGGAGGGGGTTACAAATTTTCCAAAAATTGACGCAATATGTGAACGACCCCTTATAATTATATTTATACCGCCTTATTACATTATTACAGTGTAACTGTAACATATAACATTAAGTGTAAATGTAATACAAGTTCACACGAATGAAAATGAAAATTCAGTATGCGTGTCACGTGAACCTACAATCTAGCAGCTAGACCCATTTTTGATTTTAGAGTTTTGTATTGACGTTTGACAATTTGTCAGTAAGTAAGTAAGCCAGGCTTGGTTCATAAAATAAGTGTTCACAAACACACCAATTGAAAATATGGCTGAGTGCCGCCAAGTATTGAGTTACGTGTTTGTGAGTTTGATCAGTAATTTATTTAATTGATTACATAAAATTTAGGTCTTTGTAAAATAAGCTGGGTCAGAATACCAAAAATCCTTCGAGTTAGTAAAGGAGTAAATACAAAATAAATCTGCATTAATCCCAAAATTCGATATAATTTCTAAAATTAAAAATGTCTGGGGTTTCTTTGGTCTTTGGTACAACTTCTTCATGGCAATTTTGTACGGCTTTGGGCTTTGCATGCATGTAATTGCAAGTACAAAGTACTTTTTTCTGCTTTCACCGTCCATTGACCGTGGAAGAAATAAATTTTGACTAGACGCTGTCTAACTCTAAGACAGCGTCTCAAAATTTCTGCTCTATAATATTGAATATGCACAACTCCTTGAGCTTGTCAATGTTTAAACATTTAAACAAATGCTGCACAGACTAGATATTATTTGGATTTTAGAAGATTTCGCGTTCGATACACTGTGAATTTGGAATTGAAGGATTTCAGTGCATTATTATGCTTGCTTTCGCTTCAAAGACAAAATCGCAGCAGAGATGTGTCTGATATGAGCTGGAAAGTACAAAATAGGTGCGAGCAATTGGCAATTTATCTCCCGCAAAAGCACATTCGATTTGATACGTATGAAATAGTTTTACCATTTACACTCTATTACTTGCTTTATATTGCATTAAGTTTACACATTTAACGATCAATATTGAAATATGGAGTACGGGTAATCGATTAAAATCACTTTCGAGGCATCTCGATAATAAAGCTACTCACGCTATTATAGCTGCGTGACGCGCTTGTTTCTCAAGTAAAATATACTTGCCGCCTTAAAGAAATATTCCTTTGCCGCCTTGATCGGTGGTCGCGCGCTACTGCAAGCGCAAAGCGCTAGAGGGCTCTGGTTAGAGCAAATTAACTGGCACGGTAGTGATATCATGATATTATTATTATATGTCACGTGGCTGATTATAACTTGCACTTAGAATAGTATAACCTTATTAGAGCACATAACATGCCGGTCATGATATAAGATGATTTGAAAATTAAATCGGTGTCAGGTTATAAGTTATATATTAAGAAACAAAACGATTTTATTTAGTTTCAAATCGACATCAGCTTGCGGCAGTGCTGAGTTCCGGGTCCTACAGATGAGCCGGGGACCTCAGCTAGGCCTAGGCTTTTGTGTTTATACTAAGCTTAATATAAACACAATTTAAAATTATTAAAAGGATTGGCATGCTGAACGCTGCCCATGCAGTGTGCTTTTTAAAAATTTCGAAGTTTCAATGTCAAATGTACAACATGAACATAAAGTGATGAAAGATACTTCTATGGGCAAAAAACAATAACACACTCTTCATTCTGCGTAATGACTCTTTTTCGGTTTAAATGATATGCATAAAATGTAAAATCAAAAATTGAAATAAAAAATTGGTGCGCCGCGCATATTTTAATTAATGCGCCGCGCGTTTATTTAGTATTTTAACTGATTTATACCGCACTGTAAAATCGAGCGCTACATAAACTACTAGTTATGTTGAATCCCCTTTATTTTTTCTTCATGAATTTTCAGATTTACCTCTCACTTTTTTGAATTTTACTTGGGGATCCAATGCTTTGCATTTATAGACACACCGATTGAAGATAATATTAATATGACTGCGAAGCTTAAGTATTACCCTGAAGCAATTATTACTTCGAAGAAATTTGCACAAGTTCTTTAAAACAATCTACACCAAATTATGGCAACATTTAAAACGAACTTCGGTTTTCAGCATAAACATAGTTTTTCAGCAAAATATTGTAGGTTCCTACAAAGTTCTCAACTTTCTGGAGATGGGCCCCTGCCCCACCCCGGCCCCCGCCCCCGCCCCCCCGCCCCCCCCCCCCCCCCCCCCCCCCCCGTCATGCATTTTATGAAGGTAGCTGTTTGCTATTCGCTGGGATTTCAATCACATCACAAAGGAAAAATGACAGTAAAGCTACAAGAGCCTTCTTGGTGTGGGATTCTGCGGGCATATTAAGAATGAGACTTTGTTCTTCTCTACTTCTGAGCATTCTCATAGCTGCTCAAGGGGTCAGGGGAAAAGCTGTCAAAGAAGTACATGTGGGATCCATTCTATTTAATCTCATTCCATCTTTCGAATCATATGACTGTTAACAGTATTCTTGGTATTTTATCTACACAGCTTGGACATACCAGGCAGCTGTTGCTATTTGTTAAAAATAAATGAACATATTCCGGAGATTTCAAAATATTTTTGTAGCAGTGGACCATTTCTGTTACCTTTGTATTGTGCTCTGCCAATTGCATCACTTGATTTAATTATATACATTATACATATATATTGTTTGAATGACCTTTTTTAACAGGGTCAAATAGTATAATAAAGGGAGCCCTCACTCAGAATCTTCCAAGATAATACTTTCAACACTACTATATAACAAATAATTTGAGGTATGACCAAAATGACCAACATGACAAAAATGTAATGTAATTGGAGGTATCAAATCTATTCAATCAACTTCAATCAACTTCAATCGACTTCAATCAATCTTTTTATCTACAACCAACTCAACCAACTCAACATCATGAACGATTCATTGGAAACATTTTTCGGCAAATTATTGATGGAATGTGATACAAAATGTAAAAACTGTTCAGATCTTGAAACTCGCGTGAAGTTTCTGGAGCGTAAAGTGTTCATTTTAGAGGAGATTGTTCAAACCTCACAAACAATAGCAGAGATTAATGAAACTATTTCGCCTCAAAGTGGAAACCAATCAATTGCTCAATACAAGTGTTTCGATGTATCAGTGCAAACGGACTCCAGCAACAATAACATTCAGTATGACAATGAATGCGAGGTACCAGAATCATTTTTGTTGATTGATGATGATGGCTATGTAGAAGCACCTCTATCAATTATTTCTAACAACATAGACATTTCAACCAGCGAGATTACAGACACTTGCTCAGTTATTCCAAGAAGTGGTGAATATTATGCAGGATTAGATTTAACACCTGTGTCAAGTTCAGACCTTACTACAGACTATGAAATCCCTGATATCGCCATCACACCTGTTGAACTTATTGAACAGGCACCATTCAGCAAATTTTCTGTTGAAATCTTATTTGAGGAATTAAAGTTCAGCCACCACTTCCATAACAGGAAATCAGTCTACTTTGGGAAACATCCTTACGTGTACAGTGGAGGAATGCATGACCCAAAGAAGATCCCCCAGGGATCTTACATGGCAAGTATATGTTCCTTTCTAGATGAGCTATTCCCAGAATACAACTACAACAGTGTTCTGGTCAATCTCTATGAATCTGGAGAGGAACATATGCCTGCTCATAGTGACAATGAAGAATTTATTGAAGAAGATTCGTACATTGTAACAGTGTCCCTTGGTGCTTCCAGGATGATGCAGTTGACTGAAATCAAAACAGGACAAGTGGTGACTTCCCTAATTTTAGAACATGGAGATGTATGTCTTATGTCCAAAAAGTCCCAACATCAATTCAACCATGAACTATGTCCCGATCCACTATGCACAGACAAAAGGATCAGTTTAACTTTTAGACTTATCAAACCAGTTGTCTGCAGTCAACCAAGAAAATCACCTTCTACAGCTAGTGGATATGTACCCTACAACGAAAGTGAATTTGAAGTCCACCATTCCAGAGTTCAGAGTTCAGCCAAGTCAACTGCAGCGCCTCCTTCACCTGAACAGATCCCAAGTGACCTGCCAATTGATACCATCTACATCAGCAGCAGTATGTTCAGGGACCTCAACGGAACTCTACTAAGTTCGAGGAAGCAGAAAGCTAAGGTGTTCTTCTACCCTGGAGCGAACTCTGCTCAAATGTTAAATAGGCTGTTACATGATGAGGAGTTCAAAAAACTGGACAAAAAGGATGTAAAGCGTGTTTTCATACTAACAGGCACAAACTACGTAGATTCTGTCTGTAACAATTATATTTCTATGAAAAATGCAACAGAAGGAATTGATCAAATACTTAGTATACTTTGGGGAATGTTTATTGGAGCAAGAATTTCAGTTATAAATATTTTACCTAGGAACAGTTATAACAAAAATGAAGTTATCAACGAATTAAATAGGTTTATTTCTAACACCTGCTCTAGCCATGGGTTAAATTATATAGATTTAGAACGTACCAATAGACTATTTACCAGCCGAGTTACTGGAGTAAGGAAACAGGTATTTTTCAAAAAGGGAATAGATAATGTTCACCTTAATATCAAGGGAATCGCCAGGTTGGCGAAACATTTAAAATATTTATCCCACAATGCAAATGAGCAAACTTAGTCTCTCCATTCAGTTTGTAGAAAGTTCTGTAGTTAAATGAGTATTTGATACTTTTATCAAAGAATCACATTTTAAATTATTAAGTCACAAATAAATCAGCATGACATAAAACTAAATGTCATGAATTTTATTTAAATTGCTTGAAGAAGAAACGTATAGATTTGTCCTCCTTTTAACTTTATTATTACCACATTCGTACCTCAATAAACGATAATCTCTCTCTTGGTCTATGTAATATACAGGGTGGCCTGACTAATCTGGCAAAAACTCTCGAACTACAGGAGCTAATATTTCGCGAAAAGCTTGACATAATTGGAATTAATGAGACAAACCTTAAATCTGATATAGACACTAGTACACTTAACTTCCCCTTAAACTTTGATTTTATAAGGTGTGATAGACCTAACGATAGAGGAAGAGGAGGGTGTGGTATATTGATCAACCAAAATGTAAACCACAAATTACTCAATTTAGATATAACTTACTCTGATATTTCTAAAATCGAAGCTATATGGATACAACTCAAGGATGCCAATCTTTACATTTGCTGCTTCTACAGATCACAAAACTTTTGTCACCTAGATACTTTCCTTGATTATATGACTGAATGTATGATGAAACTTCAAGGTAAGAAAGTAATATGGATTGGCGATGTTAATGTTAACCAAAACTCTTTATCTGATCTAGATTATAAAAAGTTAGATATAACAATGAAGCTCTTTGGAATGATACAGACTGTTACAGGAATTACTAGAGTTGCAAACTTAGATGGTAGGATAACGCAGAGCACAATAGATGTTGTCATGACTAACTGTTACTCTAATTTCATAGAGTGTAAAGTACTTGATGATAGAATAGGAGATCACCAAGCTCTCAAATGTGTTCTCGACTTTAAAGTAAGTAAAGCTAGTAAATTCCAGAAGGTTCTTATCAGAGACCACTCCTTAAACAATCTGAAAGCCTTAAGCTATTTTCTGGGATCCTGCAGCAACTACAGTAATATTCTAAGCTGTACTAATGTAGACCATGCCCTAGATGGACTTAATCATCACATCCAGGAATCGTATGATAATTACTGTCCACCTAAACAGATAAAATGTAATAGTAACTTTCTCTGTAATCCCTCTAAAGAACTGTTGGCAGAAATACGGAAGAAGAAGATGCTTTTCAGAAAGTATAAAAAGTGTTTAGGACAATTAAACAAATTCAAGTGTAATTGTATTAATGGAATATGTAAATGCAGAAAAAGTGAACTACATAAGAAATGCTCTACTTCGTGGGATAACTATCGTCCCCAAAGAAACTATGTGACAAAATTATCGAAAGAAAACAGACGTACAAATATTGTTCAGGACCTTACTGTGAAAAGTGCAAAAAACGATTTAAAAGGCATTTGGAAAACTATCAAACATGCTTCAAACTTACCTGGAAAAATAAGTAGCTCTTCCCCAAGCAACTTAAATGTTAACGGAGTTAACCTGCATTTTGCCACAGTTGGTACAATAATACAAGAATCGATTAAGGAAAAGGATTCAGACGACTTCCTAGAATATATGCCGCCTCCAACAGAGTGTAAACTCTCTGTATTCGAAGAGGTGACTGTTGAACAAGTAAAAGAATATATACTCAGTATACCATCAGATAAATCGATTAACGATATCATGCCCATTAAAATATATAAGTATATTATTCCCCAAATCATCGATCCAGTAGCTCATATTATAAACCTTAGTATGAAAAGTGGAACAATGCCGTTGGCATGTAAAATTGCATCAGTCACTCCAATTCTTAAAACTGGTGACCCTAATGATCCAAATAACTACCGGCCAATATCCATACTCCCCCTACTTGGAAAATGCATAGAATATTTTGTTAACCAACAGCTTACAGAGTATGTTGAAACAAATAAACTGCTTACCAACCATCAGTATGGTTTTAGAAAAGATCATTCCACCACTTTTCTAATGCTTAATCTATTTGATAAAATATTTACGTCTAAGGAATCACAGAAGAAACCTGCAATTGTATTCTTAGATATCAAAAAGGCCTTTGACACAGTAAGCCATAATATTTTATTAAAAAAACTTAAGTATTATGGAGTTGATGGCTTTGTCATAAAGTGGTTCAAAAGCTACCTTGGGGACAGAAAGCAACACACCAAAATACGTGGTAATGTAAGCACATCACTCCCTGTTAAAACAGGTGTGCCACAGGGTAGCATATTAGGACCAATTCTATTTAGTTTATTCATAAATGATCTCAGTAGAAATTGCACACAATCTACTGTTTACTTATTTGCAGATGATAGTGCACTATATTTTGATAACATTTCCCGAGGCATATATGAGAATGTAATTAAGGATATGAAAATTGTGTATGAATGGCTTAGAATCAACAAGCTAAGACTAAATGCTGCAAAATCTTCATTCATTGTATTTGATAGATCACCTAATCTGGACACGTTGTCAATCCCTCTGGATTTGGAAAAAGAATGCCTATTTATAGAAGAAACTAAATCTCAAAAATATTTAGGTCTCATGATAGACAATTTATTGAACTTTCAAGACCATATTGATTATGTGAAATCAAAAATTGCTAAAAGAATAGGGGCATTATACAGGTCGAAAAATCTTCTTCCACTGAAATATAGAAAAATGTTTGTAAATGCTCTTATGCTCCCCCAATTTGACTACCTGGATATAATATGGTGTAGGGCTGCCAAAACCAAACTTAATTCTCTTGATATATTATACAAGAAAGTAGCAAAAATTGCTCTGGATGTACATTGGCAGGAACCATCAGTAAATGTATATAGAAATATGAAGTGGTTACCCTTACACTTAAGAAGACAACTCCATCTATCAACGTATATGTATAAAATTCTTAATGAGGCTGCACCATCATCATTCACAGATAAATTTTCTTATGTATCCGGAGGATCACGTGATGCTGAGAGGTGCAACCTTTATATTCACAAATCCAGAACACACAAAACCTTTACATATTTAGGTGCAAAATGTTGAAATACAATTCCAGAGAACATAAGGACTATAGAATGTAGTGTAAAATTCTCACAATGTATGAAATCTAAATTTATGTCAGATGTAATTCAAGGAGTCTCATCCTATGAAATAAACAATAGTTTCGACTATTTCTACACTCTAGCTATGTGACAACTGAAACAAATTTTATGGTGCTGGAGTTTTTGTCGGGTGGAAAGGCCCCCTGCGTTATATATGACCTAGGTTTTTCCAGAAGTATAGAACTTTAAACATCTCCTTTATTCGTTCCCATTTGTTATCATTGCCAATCTATTATTGTTCTATACTTCTCTGTATATAACTGTAAATAACATTACTAACGTAATCCCAAAGTGGGCATCTATGTAATCTTAATTGTTACCTTCATGCCCACAGTTCACTGTTAAATCATATCTTATTTTATCACTCATTAATTTATTACTCATTATGTTTTACATACTATATCCTTATGTCCCTAGAAGGGTGTTCTGATAACAGTTTTCGACTGACTTGAATGTCCTGCACAGCAGATTGAAGCTTCTTAAATTATTTTTATTCTTATTGTATTGCTGTGTAAATTTGATTCTAATTCTAATTCTAATTCTAATTCTAATTCTAAGACATTTCGTCTTGACCGGTATAATTTACTATGTTGGTGGTGGTGAGTGAGGGCTCCCCGTGTCAAACAATCTACCCAACTGAAGACACTCTTACCATCCAGTTTTCCGCAGTCATTGATTGACATAAGCACTAAGCAGGAACATAAGAAAAACTTTTGTTATGGACAATTTATTATAAAACTTAAGTGTATAGGATGAACTGATAATTGCATGACGTACAATGTACATTATATTTTTTATCTGAGGTCAGACATTACCATTGTAATTTTACTTTTTGAATCATTACACGATGTACATGTACCTTATTCTGATTTGCACTTATTCATCAAAGCTATGAAGATTTGGTGCCCCCTCACAAAGTAGAAAGGTTAAGTTGAACTAATTAGGAGATTTGATTCACTGGTAAAACTTCTTAAATAGTGTGTTTAGCTAGAGAAAAACTGCAATTTTGCTAGCACTTCTAAGTAAGGTTGTCAAGATTGTTACACATTCAAACGATATTTTGGCACCCCACCCCCCCCCCCCCCCCTCTGGACCAGTGGCGTAACGAAAGGCCCTGCTGACCCCGCTGTGCAGGGGGGCGCCGTCTTAGGGGGGCGCCAAATCGTCGTTTGAATGTGGGACAATTTCGAAAACTTAACTAAAGTACTAGCAAAACTGCGCGTTTTGCTCTAGATACACACTTTTTTAGAGATTTTTCCGGCGTATTCTTTAAAATCACCTAATTTGTTCAATTTTAGGGAGGGGCACCAAAAGGGGAGGGGGCGCCAACAGGGGGGCGCTTTTTTTGGCAGGGGGGCGCCAACAGGCAACGTTACACCACTGCTCTGGACGACAGGTTCAGCGTGAGCGGTGCCTTTTCTTATGACACTGTTCCGACTTCCAACTGAAGTCATTATCTACAGTATGTAAATTGATTAATGTTAAATTAAACTTGATTACGACATTTTATTTGTTTATAATAAATCGTTCATCACAAATTTGACATTAGGGAAGGAAGTTATCCAAACAGCAACCATGTCGACGTCACAAAAAATGAAGGACTTCACGTCCGAGCCGATGGGTGAGAAGGCTGTGAAGTCATTGGCTGGTATCGGAGAGAAACTGGGTGATAAATTGATTGATGAGGTATTAAATGCCTTGTGTATACTCTAGATTAGATTTTATAATTATCTATTTATTTAAGCTTTATCTTGCAAGATAAGGTATGAATATGATCAATTTCACATTGAAAATTACAATATAGGGAGTATACTTGCATACTAGTAAAGCACAATAGCTGCCATTTTCCTTCACAAGACAACACTTAAAGAATTTATTTGATTTCTTTCTTGTAGCTCACTATCTTGGCCTTTGCTGAAACATTAATCTCTTACTTTCTTACTTTACCAGGGTTTCCAATACGCATACAACGTGCTTGGACAGTTCTTGGTGCTGGGTAAAAACGAGGACCTGATGGTTATGTGGCTGAAGGACAAAATTGGAGCCAACTCTAAACAAGCCGGTGATTGCGCCAAATGCTTGAATGAATGGTGTGATGCTTTCTTGTAATCTCTCTCACAAAACGGGGTGCAGTTATTAACAAGACGAAACTCAGTACATGAAATGTTACGATTTTTTGTAGAAAACACTTCAACAAATATTGACTGATTACACCGGATTATGCTGTTGAAATTAGGTTTATGTTACCAAACTGTTTTTATCCTCAATCAAGTTCTATATTCTTGTTGTTTAATGTTGTTAAAATTCCTGGAGTTTAATTTTCTTGAGCCTCTTAAATCTTAAATCTATCACTTATCATAAGTATTCCTTCTAATTCTGTCCGAAACTTTTAACTTTGGAACCTGGCCTTTTCGCTATAGAACCTCCTCGAAACTACCCGACCTGTATTTATTTTAACTCATTTGTCTTGCTTGGCGGTGCTGTTTTTAATAGGTTTGGATTACAGAATTGTTATTTTAATCATACAAATTCAAGGTTACTGAATTTATTGTGTTATGACAATTACTTTTAAAATATTTATGTCGAACTATTTATAATTATTTTCACCATTCTGTACCAAAAGATTCTAATTCCTCTTCAATCAGCCTTTTTTAAGGTGTAATTCCCCTTTTATTGAAAAAAATGCTTCTCTTCACCGGAAGCTGTTGATACTGTAAGCAATGATCTTAATATAAAGTTGACAGAATTTGACATTTTTGTTTCTCATATGTTAAGATTTCATCATCATAAACTCCAGTAACTAACCCAACTCACTGCAAGGCATGGCACGAGATAACTGGGACGGAGCAGATCCCAAGTATATCGGTAAGGTATATGTTGGTGGTATCGGAGCTGATGTGACACGCAGTGAACTTGAGGCAGAGTATGGCAAGTACGGATCTATTCGCGATGTCTGGATTGCACATAATCCTGCTGGATTTGCTTTTGTTGAGTTTTATGAAGAGAGGGATGGTAAGTGAATTGTACTCTTTTTGAAATTGAACAGAAACATGTCTTCCGTGTTTAAGGTCTTTCAATTTCGATTTTAGGTTTGTAATTTGAATATTTAACAAGTTTTTCTAATTCGAGTGAGGTAATTACGGCTGGCAACGTTCTTTCACTTACAACATTCTCTCCTCAGCAACGGACGCAATAAGAGCAACTGACGGAAAAAGAGTTTGTGGGTACAAAGTATCAGTAGAAGCGAGTCACGGAAGGAAAAGCAAGCGGAAGCGGTACTTAGAGGATGTGCGCTGCTACAAGTAAGTGTGAGATCCCCCCTCCCCCCCCCCTAGTGTGAGGGTGCGACAAAACAGCTTCACAGTTTCAATAACTACGGTAATAACGGCGAGGGTTCAATACATAGGTCCCACACTCTTATACCATTAACCATAACTTCGTATTGTTTGCACATTCTGGACACTTCTGTTGCATTGTCATGAACATACACGAGTAATGTATAATGTATATCCGTGTTTTTTATGCAATATAATCTATAAAAGTAAATACTTTCTTTGAAAATAACATCTCCCTCAGCTGTAACCGGTGGGGACATCTAGCTAAAGTTTGTACTCGTGCGTATGGAGACTACAGAAGGTCACCACCCCGTGGAGGATCCCGTTCACCGGGCCGAGGATCCCGTTCACCACGCCGCTCACGATCACCCCGACGAAGTGGTAACCGCTCCAGGTCCCGGTCCCGGTCTCCACGGCGCAGGACGAGATCTCCCTCACCTTGCAGATCTAGATCTCCCCGCCGCAGTAAAGACAAATCTCGTGATAGATCTCGTGATAAGAGACGTGATAGGTCCGGGGATAGGAGTAGGAGTAAGAGAAAGACGAAGTCAAGGAGTCGTTCCAGATCTAGAGACCGCAGCCCCAGGAGGTTGGTAATTTAGGTTACCTGGATTTGTTTTCTCGAGTGTTCAAACAAAAATAGTCGTTCTGAGTCTTTGAAGGAAGCAATTTGAGTATCTTAGTGGCGATAATATGGGTCACTAAATAACCTGAAGACAAATGCTGTAACGTTCATCTTTCAAACAATTTGGTTGCTTTTTTTTTCTTTTTCTAAAATGAAGTTAGAAGTGTTACACTCTGGTTTTTCAGGAGCAAATCACGTGAAGACAGAAGTAAATCTCGTGAAAAGTCACATGAGAGGTCACGTGACAAATCTGCTGAAAGGTAAGACTCATTTTATGAACTTGTATTCAGTCATTCATGAAACTAGTCTCTTCTTTACTGGTTTGATTGTCATTATTGTAAGTATTTTATTTTTATGAGTCACATTTGAAAAGTAATCACATGACCGCCACATAGGTGTCAATCTGCATTTCAACATTGATATCAACGGTATTTCAACATTGATATCAACGGTATTTCAACAATCAACATTGTTATCAACAGCATTTCAACTTAAATCCAACAACTACATACGTTTATATCTACGACTTCTTATGAAGCCCAGCAAATTCAACGTTTCGTTTATTCGACTACTTTAAGTTTTAACTGAGCGAAAGTAAGTACTGGGACTTAATGGTGTGGCACATTTTAACTTTTTACAGATAAACAAACTTGAGATTACAATTTATGTGGGCTTTTCTCCTTTCAACAGAGCTTGAGATGCTTTCTATTTCATTATATTTATTAACGAAATATTAACTACTCTCACTACCTGTTCCCTGTTTAGATCTGAAGAAAGGAGGCACTCGATGAGCCTAGAAAAAGATGATTTGAAAGAAGATTTCGTACAGCAAGATGAGGAGAACTAAGAAAGTAGTTAAATTATAATCAGTGAACTGTGCCTGCCTGTTTGTATTGTGGCGAAACTAAAACAAACAGTTTATTAGTGGGGTGATTAAATGTAACATCTTTGTTTTAACTGGAACTTGTCCACGAGGGACATGCTTTTTTGTTTTTATATTTTTACTGAAAGAATGATTGTGCATCTATTTTGAAGTACCGAAACTAATTTTGGTTTGTAATTGGAAAATCTGTGATTGTGCGTTTTTTCAAACTTGAGCGCACTTTATATAAGATAAATTCCCTGTAACAGTGTAACTGTTCGAATGTCGACCCATGATTCAATTGATTTTCTCATTGTCCCAACTAACTGAAGACTATATTGAGGTTATCTGGTCCATTCTACTCAATTTGTCACCCTGCATCTTCAAGTGGGTATAAACGATTTCAGTGTAATTTTCCAATCGTTCATTCGGTGGTCACTCGAGGTCATCGAGTTTACACTCAAGATAATGCATGTCATGGTACATTTAACATTAGTAATCGATCAAACGATGTACAATTCTTGACTATCCCCACTAACGCGCCCGAAACCACCTTTATACGTAAGGCGCGGTAACAACATTGTGTTCAGAGATACCGACTGTCTTACTAATTTCGAGTGTCAGCATTAATTTAAGCACGCGCTAGAATTAACCGCTCAAACAGAGTGTTTAAATTCGATATCAAGGAAAATTCGTTCAATTGAAGAGTAGTAAAGATTAATTTGACAGTCAACCGGGATCATCAGTTAGATAAGACCTCAACAGTGTGATAAATGATTATCTAAACCTCGTAAATCCAAAAACGGGCTGTAACCGCCAAATGTATGATTCGCATAAAATCCACGGTAAAATAATCTTCGACGTAAGGCTCATGGTAGTCGGGTGCCGCGCGGACTTATCGCTCGGTCGATCGAGCGATAAGTAGCTCCTTATCGCTCGTGCGCGTCGTCACTTCAAGCACAATTGCGCGTCGTATCGTACTCGATGCTTGCCAAAGAGCTTTAATACTTTGGTTTTGGCGTGTTACATCTGAAGTCCAGAAGATGAATCCGAGATTGTGGAACCAGATGATACGGTTTTTGAGGCATTTTGATACGGTCATTTCAGTCTTTTAAAGTAGTTTCAGAGTGCTGGAAATGGTTGTACGGTGTAGGGGGATGTGTTTACTAACTATTTTGACGTCAAAATAGTCGCCCAAGACTCCCTGAGTCATGGAATGAACGGAATGAACAAAAATGAAATTTTTTTCTAAAACTCGTCGGATTGCCCCAAAACAGGTCGGAATCGTTTGGTATTGACCCTTATAGTGTTCCTACAAAGTTTGGTGGCCCTAGCACTCCCAGAACGCCCACTAGAGACTTAATTCCATTTCCGTATCAAAAAGCTGGTTCCTGAGTATCCGATATTGATACGGTCATTTCAGTCTGTTAAAGGGGCTGCAGAGTGCTGGAGATGATTGTACGGTGTAGGGGGATGTGTTTACTAACTATTTTGACGTCAAAATAGTCGCCCAAGACTCCCTGAGTCATGGAATGAACGGAATGAACAAAAATGAAATTTTTTCTAAAACTCGTCGGATTGCCCCGAAACAGGTCGGAATCGTTTGGTATTGACCCTTATAGTGTTCCCACAAAGTTTGGTGGCCCTAGCACTCCCAGAACACCCATTATACCCTTGGCTGGATTCAAGAATTTAGAACCAGTTGAGCAGATAAAACGGATTTTGAGAAATTTTGTCTGCTTGTGTTGTTGCAGAGAGTTGAATTTGGTTCAACAGTATTCAAACAAGATGTGTTCCAACTTAGTTTTGTAGCCCTACCAGTTTCAGAACGTCCACTAGAATCCGGTTCCATTTTCTTCCAAGAAGCTGTAGACAAGGTTGTTTGAAATTTAAATTTAACCTCTCTGGTAATACAACTTTTTACTTGGATGGATTTCAATAATTAAAGAGAGCATATTGTTACTTTGTTATTTTTGAGATTTGATTTTTTGATATCATATGTATAAATGTATAAATCAGTTTCTACAAATTGTAACAGCAATTGGCAGTAATAAAGCGGTAGTAATAGTTTTGCACAACATCAATCATAATATCATTCAATACTTCAATACCTTCAAAATAATTTAACTCGGTTATAATAATTTAAACGCAGATCTAAAAGAACTAAGCACAGTAGTAGGATGAACTTCCAGGCAAGGTTGGAGGAAGGTAGAGGTGAAGCTGTGGGTAAGGATAGTAGGCTGGGAAGGATCCATTTCTGATCCAGAGCTGATGATTTGGGTTGAGCTGATGATTTGGGTTGAGCTGATGATTTGGGTGGTACAGATGAGTTGGGTGGTACAGATGAGTTTGGTGGTACAGATGATTTGGATGAGGGACGAGAGGAAGACAGTTCCTTAATACAATCTAGACTATGTTTGGAAATAGATGGATCAATCTTTACATAATCAGAAAACTTAGGCAAATCTATATCTGAACGTTTCAACTTCTTACTCTTAAACTTAGGTGCTTGCTCGAAATCCTCGTCTGAGTCGACAGAGGGTTTGACTGAATGTTTACGTGACTGATTATCTAACTTGGCACCTAGTTCCTTCCTATTCTGGAGTACCTGTTCGGCAGAACAAATCATAACAGAGTACGACTTGTCTGCCCGAACTTCCTCAACAGAATGAAACAACTGGTCAGAGTATCTAACTAAAATCTTAGATATTAAACTTAAGAGACCTATCAGTTATTATGCAGCTATATAAATTTAAGAGAGCCTCTACAGAGCCATCCTTATCTAGTGAGCAGTGGTCAGAACATTCATATACATCTAAAGTGTGCTTACAGGGGAAAAAGTGCTTAAAGAACTGTTGCAACTTATCAGATAAAGGAAACATGAGCTGAACTAAGGAACTACAAAACAATCTAACGTGGGGTATCTTAGGACCTGACTTAAGATCAGAAATGAACACATAAGAACCACACTCTAACCGCAGTACTACAGAGGAGCACACGGTCAGGGGGTCAGAATAAGCATGTGATAAAGGAGGCAAAGCATCCTGCATATTATGATAATATACACCTAAAGATGAATCGAACTTGTGGGAGTCACGAATGAGCTCAACCACGGCATTTACCTGAGATGTATCCATAGGGAGTAGTCGTGTTGACTGAGTTAGCTGTAAAAAACAGCCAATAAGTAAAACTCAGATAGGGAGAAGTGTAGTCAAAGAACTGGTTGTAGGAAACAACACAGTCCAGATAGGAGTAGGAAGGGAGGACTCAGAACTAGTTGTAGAAAACAACGTAGTTTAGAGTAAAGTAGGCAAAGAAGACAGGCACGTAGCGTAAACTACAAAATAAAAATGTGTATTTGAAAGATAGAGCTTAAAGTTGAAATGTCAAAAGATTGTACTCAGTGTGTGAAATAGTAAACTGAAACCGGGTGAGCTATATTTCACGAGGGTATTTATACCCGCTTCATCGTGACAGGGATAACGAGCCAATTGTTTACAAACAAGCAGCAAGCATGTGAATCCTTCTTGATAAGGTTCAGATCACGTTTGATCGCATGCAGGGTTCTTGTCTCCGATAGATCAGATCATTGTCTTCTAAGAAGATCATATCCTCGTTCTTGCCCCCTCTGGCTCCAGTGGATCTCATCATTACTCGATAAGCATCGGATCAAATGATTGCCTCAAAAACCGTATCATCTGGTTCCACAATCTCGTATACTCAGGAACCAGCTTTTTAATACGGAAATGGAACCAAGTCTCTAGTGGGCGTTCTGGGAGTGCTAGGGCCACCAAACTTTGCAGGAACACTATTAGGGTCAATACCAAACGATTCCGATCTGTTTTGGGGCAATCCGACGAGTTTAGAAAAAATTTCATTTTTGTTCATTCCGTTCATTCCATGACTCAGGGAGCCTCTGGCGACAATTTTGACGTCAAAATAGTTAGTAAACACATCCCCCTACACCGTACAACCATTTCCAGCACTCTGAAACTACTTTAACAGACTGAAATGACTGTATCAAAATGCCTCAAAAACCGTATCATCTGGTTCCACAATCTCGGATACTCAGGAACCAGCTTTTTGATACGGAAATGGAACCAAGTCTCTAGTGGGCGTTCTGGGAGTGCTAGGGCCACCAAACTTAGGCGTCCAATCTTTGCAGTTGTTTCTTTCAAGGTAGTTGCGAGCGTCTATACTTTCAGTCTTTAGCTTGCTCATTTTGTATTTACATCATTTGTACAAGACTAGATGGTAGCCATGTTCTGTGTCCTAAACCTAACTTTAGTGTGCATGTTATCTATTATGTTGGTCTCAGTTTAAACCTGAAAGCCATTGAATATGTTTGCCACTGCTTCTCAGCTGATCATAAATAATTTAAAATAGGGTTCAGTGTTCTGACCATTTGTGTATGTAGATGAAGCAAGGTCAGGAACCCAGCACGGTGAAGGATTAGGCCGGTTATCTAGCAAAGATCTCTGTCACTATACTTTTGTTGCTCAGTATCATTAGTATCATCATTGAAGATTGTGCATACACAACTTTATTAAAGTAAATGTTAGACAGTGTTATTTCGAATACATCCCAGCACAAATATTATCAGCTTCATCAATCTTGATATCTTAACGATGACCCTGGTCAAACAATTTAAAACTTCTGTAATTTCATTTCTAGTATGCGTATAGGAAATCGATAAGGCTTCAAAATGATATGTTCGGCGACCTTTTAGCTCAATCACGAGACTCAGTAGGAGTGATTGAACTGTAAGGGACAATTGAGGCTAACGAATTAGCAGTTTCAAGTTAAGTTTAATATAATAACGAATTAATTATAATAACCAATGAATTATACAGGTTGTACGTACACGCCACAGAATTAAAAACGTTCTGATCGAGCTGCACTTGCACTGATGAGCTGAACGTTTGCGGAGTTACAATCGCGAGCTACAAACGCGAAACTTTCAAAAGGCAATTGCGCGGCTTATAGGTAAAATTAAAAATTAGCTTCAGACTATAATTAGATTTAAAAAAAATTGTTGTATTCAGTATACATTTTATTTATAAATTGTAAATTAGATATAATTTAATTCAAAACAATATGCAACAAAATCAAAATAAACAATAAACATTCGAAAGCTAATTTTTAATTTTACTAATAAGCCGCGCAACTATATTCGGAAGTATCGCGTTGGTAGCTTGCGATTTTAACTCCGCAAACGTTCAGCTCATCAGTGCAAGTGCAGCTCGATCAGAACGTTTTTAATTCTGTGGCGTGTAGTGTGTACGTACAACCTGTATAATTCATTGGTTATTATAATTAATTCGTTATTATATTAAACTTAACTTGAAACTGCTAATTCGTTAGCCTCAATTGTCCCTTGCAGTTCAATCACTCCTACTGAGTCTCGTGATTGAGCTAAAAGGTCGCCGAACATATCATTTTAAAGCCTTATCGATTTCCTATACGCATACTAGAAATGAAATTACAGAAGTTTTAAATTGTTTGACCAGGGTCATCGTTAAGATATCAAGATTGATGAAGCTGATAATATTTGTGCCTGTCTAACATTTACTTTAATAAAGTTGTGTATGCACAATCTTCAATGATGATACTAATGATACTGAGCAACAAAAGTATAGTGACAGAGATCTTTGCTAGATAACCGGCCTAATCCTTCACCGTGCTGGGTTCCTGACCTTGCTTCATCTACATACACAAATGGTCAGAACACTGAACCCTATTTTAAATTATTTATGATCAGCTGAGAAGCAGTGGCAAACATATTCAATGGCTTTCAGGTTTAAACTGAGACCAACATAATAGATAACATGCACACTAAAGTTAGGTTTAGGACACAGAACATGGCTACCATCTAGTCTTGTACAAATGATGTAAATACAAAATGAGCAAGCTAAAGACTGAAAGTATAGACGCTCGCAACTACCTTGAAAGAAACAACTGCAAAGATTGGACGCCTAAGTTTGGTGGCCCTAGCACTCCCAGAACGCCCACTAGAGACTTGGTTCCATTTCCGTATCAAAAAGCTGGTTCCTGAGTATCCGAGATTGTAGAACCAGATGATACGGTTTTTGAGGCATTTTGATACGGTCATTTCAGTCTGTTAAAGTAGTTTCAGAGTGCTGGAAATGGTTGAACGGTGTAGGGGGATGTGTTTACTAACTATTTTGACGTCAAAATTGTCGCCAGAGGCTCCCTGAGTCATGGAATGAACGGAATGAACAAAAATGAAATTTTTTCTAAACTCGTCGGATTGCCCCAAAACAGATCGGAATCGTTTGGTATTGACCCTAATAGTGTTCCTGCAAAGTTTGGTGGCCCTAGCACTCCCAGAACGCCCACTAGAGACTTGGTTCAATTTCCGTATCAAAAAGCTGGTTCCTGAGTATCCGAGATTGTGGAACCAGATGATACGGTTTTTGAGGCAATCATTTGATCCGATGCTTATCGAGTAATGATGAGATCCACTGGAGCCAGAGGGGGCAAGAACGAGGATATGATCTTCTTAGAAGACAATGATCTGATCTATCGGAGACAAGAACCCTGCATGCGATCAAACGTGATCTGAACCTTATCAAGAAGGATTCACATGCTTGCTGCTTGTTTGTAAACAATTGGCTCGTTATCCCTGTCACGATGAAGCGGGTATAAATACCCTCGTGAAATATAGCTCACCCGGTTTCAGTTTACTATTTCACACACTGAGTACAATCTTTTGACATTTCAACTTTAAGCTCTATCTTTCAAATACACATTTTTATTTTGTAGTTTACGCTACGTGCCTGTCTTCTTTGCCTACTTTACTCTAAACTACGTTGTTTTCTACAACTAGTTCTGAGTCCTCCCTTCCTACTCCTATCTGGACTGTGTTGTTTCCTACAACCAGTTCTTTGACTACACTTCTCCCTATCTGAGTTTTACTTATTGGCTGTTTTTTACAGCTAACTCAGTCAACACGACTACTCCCTATGGATACATCTCAGGTAAATGCCGTGGTTGAGCTCATTCGTGACTCCCACAAGTTCGATTCATCTTTAGGTGTATATTATCATAATATGCAGGATGCTTTGCCTCCTTTATCACATGCTTATTCTGACCCCCTGACCGTGTGCTCCTCTGTAGTACTGCGGTTAGAGTGTGGTTCTTATGTGTTCATTTCTGATCTTAAGTCAGGTCCTAAGATACCCCACGTTAGATTGTTTTGTAGTTCCTTAGTTCAGCTCATGTTTCCTTTATCTGATAAGTTGCAACAGTTCTTTAAGCACTTTTTCCCCTGTAAGCACACTTTAGATGTATATGAATGTTCTGACCACTGCTCACTAGATAAGGATGGCTCTGTAGAGGCTCTCTTAAATTTATATAGCTGCATAATAACTGATAGGTCTCTTAAGTTTAATCTCTTGGAGAGCCAGAAAGTATTAGATGGAATAGTTGCAAGTTTCCACACCTCCATAAGTTCTAAGATTTTAGTTAGATACTCTGACCAGTTGTTTCATTCTGTTGAGGAAGTTCGGGCAGACAAGTCGTACTCTGTTATGATTTGTTCTGCCGAACAGGTACTCCAGAATAGGAAGGAACTAGGTGCCAAGTTAGATAATCAGTCACGTAAACATTCAGTCAAACCCTCTGTCGACTCAGACGAGGATTTCGAGCAAGCACCTAAGTTTAAGAGTAAGAAGTTGAAACGTTCAGATATAGATTTGCCTAAGTTTTCTGATTATGTAAAGATTGATCCATCTATTTCCAAACATAGTCTAGATTGTATTAAGGAACTGTCTTCCTCTCGTCCCTCATCCAAATCATCTGTACCACCCAACTCATCTGTACCACCCAACTCATCTGTACCACCCAACTCATCTGTACCACCCAACTCATCTGTACCACCCAACTCATCTGTACCACCCAACTCATCTGTACCACCCAAATCATCAGCTCAACCCAAATCATCAGCTCAACCCAAATCATCAGCTCAACCCAAATCATCAGCTCAACCCAAATCTTCAGCTCAACCAAAATCATCAGCTCAACCCAAATCATCAGTTCAACCCAAATCATCAACTCAACCCAAATCATCAGCTCAACCCAAATCATCTGTACCACCTAAATCATCAGTTCAACCCAAATCATCAGCCCAACCCAAGTCATCAGTTCTACCCAAATCATCAGCTCAACCCAAATCATCAGTTCAACCCAAATCATCAGTTCAACCCAAATCATCAGTTCAACCCAAATCATCAGCTCAACCCAAATCATCAGTTCAACCCAAATCATCAGCTCAACCCAAATCTTCAGCTCAACCAAAATCATCAGCTCAACCCAAATCATCAGTTCAACCCAAATCATCAACTCAACCCAAATCATCAGCTCAACCCAAATCATCTGTACCACCTAAATCATCAGTTCAACCCAAATCATCAGCTCTGGATCAGAAATGGATCCTTCCCAGCCTACTATCCTTACCCACAGCTTCACCTCTACCTTCCTCCAACCTTGCCTGGAAGTTCATCCTACTACTGTGCTTAGTTCTTTTAGATCTGCGTTTAAATTATTATAACCGAGTTAAATTATTTTGAAGGTATTGAAGTATTGAATGATATTATGATTGATGTTGTGCAAAACTATTACTACCGCTTTATTACTGCCAATTGCTGTTACAATTTGTAGAAACTGATTTATACATTTATACATATGATATCAAAAAATCAAATCTCAAAAATAACAAAGTAACAATCTGCTCTCTTTAATTATTGAAATCCATCCAAGTAAAAAGTTGTATTACCAGAGAGGTTAAATTTAAATTTCAAACAACCTTGTCTACAGCTTCTTGGAAGAAAATGGAACCGGATTCTAGTGGACGTTCTGAAACTGGTAGGGCTACAAAACTAAGTTGGAACACATCTTGTTTGAATACTGTTGAACCAAATTCAACTCTCTGCAACAACACAAGCAGACAAAATTTCTCAAAATCCGTTTTATCTGCTCAACTGGTTCTAAATTCTTGAATCCAGCCAAGGGTATAATGGGTGTTCTGGGAGTGCTAGGGCCACAAAACTTTGTGGGAACACTATTAGGGTCAATACCAAACGATTCCTACCTGTTTTGGGGCCATCCGACGAGTTTTAGAAAAATGTTCATTTTTGTTCATTCCGTTCATTCCATGACTCAGGGAGTCTTGGGCGACTATTTTGACGTCAAAATATTTAGTAAACACATCCCCCTACACCGTACAATCATCTCCAGCACTCTGCAGCCCCTTTAACAGACTGAAATGACCGTATCAATATCGGATACTCAGGAACCAGCTTTTTGATACGGAAATGGAATTAAGTCTCTAGTGGGCGTTCTGGGAGTGCTAGGGCCACCAAACTTTGTAGGAACACTATAAGGGTCAATACCAAACGATTCCGACCTGTTTTGGGGCAATCCGACGAGTTTTAGAAAAAATTTCATTTTTGTTCATTCCGTTCATTCCATGACTCAGGGAGTCTTGGGCGACTATTTTGACGTCAAAATAGTTAGTAAACACATCCCCCTACACCGTACAATCATCTCCAGCACTCTGCAGCCCCTTTAACAGACTGAAATGACCGTATCAATATCGGATACTCAGGAACCAGCTTTTTGATACGGAAATGGAATTAAGTCTCTAGTGGGCGTTCTGGGAGTGCTAGGGCCACCAAACTTTGTAGGAACACTATAAGGGTCAATACCAAACGATTCCGACCTGTTTCGGGGCAATCCGACGAGTTTTAGAAAAAAATTCATTTTTGTTCATTCCGTTCATTCCATGACTCAGGGAGCCTCTGGGCGACTATTTTGACGTCAAAATAGTTAGTAAACACATCCCCCTACACCGTACAACCATTTCCAGCACTCTGAAACTACTTTAAAAGACTGAAATGACCGTATCAAAATGCCTCAAAAACCGTATCATCTGGTTCCACAATCTCGGATTCATCTTCTGGACTTCAGATGTAACACGCCAAAACCAAAGTATTAAAGCTCTTTGGCAAGCATCGAGTACGATAAGACGCGCAATTGTGCTTGAAGTGACGACGCGCACGAGCGATAAGGAGCTACTTATCGCTCGATCGACCGAGCCATAAGTCTTATCGCTCGTGCGCGCCACCCGACTACCATGAGCCTAAAGTAATATGTATAATGTACTGCAGATTTAAATTTAAGCTGGGCCTCTGACATCGGCGATACTAATTCACTCGCCAGTGATTCAAGGAAAAACACACGAAGCTAGCTAACCTGACCAGTTGCCTTTTCTTGTATCTTTTAAATGTTAGAGGCTAGAGCACCAAGGTAAATGTCAGAAATATTCTATCGGGCATTCCATATTTGGCATCTATCCAACGACGAAAACGGCTTAGCGAAACTGCACACAGCACACGTGCGTACTGCTTCAACCATGACAACGTGAATTTTGAGCCTTTGTTTGCACGCAAACGGTCAGTGCTACTCAAATCATCTCTCTTTTGTGAAGATAAACAACACTACTGAAATGGAACCAAGCACAATCTTGATTCTCATCGCCATCGTCCTCCTCGGCATAGCCATTATGGGAGGAGGAACTATGGTATTTTGCTGCCACGGATTCGAGCGAGGACTTCCCTTCATCTCAGTCCGTGAACTATATGAAGAACTTGCAGATTTAGACAGGCGAACCAGTGAACGGTACAGGGATTTCGCCCTCCTTGTTAACAACGTGGCTGCTGGGCTACAGAAAGAAGCAGCAGGTCTCCCTAGCAAGCTTCTGGTGAAAGACATGTCAACCATCATTGACATAGAAGAAGGAAAAGGAACAGTTGGGTGTCAGAGTACTCCAACTCATCAAGCAATGGTCGCACCTGCCCCAGCTGAGGTGATCATCTCTATCCCTGAAGAATAGGAATTACATTTCTACAACTTCGGCTACCACTATGAAGAGACATTTTATTAACCATCTCTCGGATTTTAAAGACCATTTTTACGATTTTAAAGGCCCAAGCAACACGTAGTGCTTGCGGTCTCAGTGGGGGGAGCAAAATAGTTTTGAACTATATGCTCTTCGTGCCAGCCTTGCAGTTCTGTTAAACCCTGCCTAGTGCCTAGTAACAATGCAAGGTGTAACAGAACTGGAGGTCCCACTGCCGCGGATCTTACCCGGCTGATGATCCTGGAGTGCGGTCAACTCCATCCCCGGCCCTACCCAGACATTAAATAGAGCGTTTTTATTACCCAGTCCATCCCGATTACACCCAACCTTCCCCAGAATGGCATTTTGTACTTTTCTGGTTACTATTCTGACCGGCGATTTCAATCCATTATCCAAACTCCAAAGAGGTTAATTAATTTGAGTGTTTACTGAAATAACGGACGTTGTCAGATTTCAGAATTTGATATGTACACAGCTAAGCCCTAAGGTTGGATTAACATCGCCTTTTCAGTTGCAACAAATGGTCCCACGAATCACTTCCGATACACGAACATCCACGTTACGCTACTGTTTTCATTTGCAAATTTGAAATATACAACTAGGCGAATCTGATTTAACCTCAGGGACAGAAACTCTTAAATTGCAATTATTTGCGATTTACAAATTAAAAAGGCAGTTTATACGAATCGAATGGCAATTTTACGGGAATAAATTACAATAACAAGTAAATCAACAAATTGCTCGTACTACTATACACCACGCCAAGGAAGAAAAACAACACTTTAAAGACTAAATTGTAAAACAAGATTACACAAACTCGCTAAGAAAGTTCACGGCTAATCTTTCATTAATTAACAACTAAATCAAGGACCGTATTTACAATTACAAATGTTAATGTTTGGCTTGTTTATCACAACTTTGTACATGTCTGTGTCATCGTCTCTTAAAGTATTAACGACTCGTTTCAATATTCATATCATAAATTCCTGTTAAAATGTTGCATAAAGTCCAGCTTAATATGCGATGAATGGCCAGAAAATTTAGTTACCGGCAGAATTTTGTATTTCAAAAGTTAATATTATATCAGCAGCACAAGGTATGCCCTAATCTAAATACAACATTGTATAAAGTCATTATTCCACAATCTGTTCAATAAATTCAGTAGAAAACAAGACAAAGTAATATGTAGTAACAACACTAGAAATAGAATATCGGCGACTTATTCTAGTAAATACTCTTGAAATGATTTAAAAGAGAGGAATTATATGCGGTTCTGTAGTTATCTCAAAACTGTTCGTATTCGTCGACACCGGGGTTGTTGGCTGCAGTTCTCGGTTTCTTCTTCTTTGTTTTCTTTTTTCTGGGCTTCTCCCGAGTAGTCGTGGTCACTTCACCGCCTGTAAAATATAACGTCATAAGTTCATAACAATAACATGCCTCGTAGCTTGTGAAATTTGAGCGAGCAGTTCAGATTAAAACAGGTTTTGTTTCAGGCAATATCCCTCTTCTTTTTAATGGCCAATACCTATTTCATGCAAGGACGCTTTTCAGCGAATGGTGGACCATTCATTATTCAAATTGAAAGTGTAAAAATATCAGTTCTGTCGAACCTCCAAAGAAGTCGTCCAATTCATCACGCTCTTTCTTTTCTCTGATCTCGTCTGCAGTTTTCTCCTCCAATTCGTCTTGTCTCTTCTTTTCTCTGATCTCTTCTGTTGGTTTCTCTCGCTTCTTTTTCTTCCCCTTTTTGGGGGCAGGAGTTGGAGTAGGAGCTGGAGTTTCAACAGGTACAAGAGAAATTGGCTCTACGTGGGTAAGCTGCAGGGGGAAGGCTGGTTAGAAGATTTATTTAAACTCTAACTATCATAACGATAAGCTTTCTTTCAAGACTAAAATTACACATATGTGGCGATCATCATTAAATAAATCTTTAACCTTTAAATGTGTCCCCCGTATTACCTTGAGAGAGCCGGTAGAATTGAGTCTCTTGGGGGGAGCTGGATGTGAGACTTCTGGTTCCTCGTACGTACTCATCACTTGAACCGACTCTTCTGGGGTGTGGGACTCTGTAGCTGGTGGGGCCTGCTGGGTGTCGGATTGTGAAGGTAGCGCCCGGTGGGTTACGAAATAACTGTGTATATTTGAACCTACAATCATGGGCAGTTGAAATATGTTGACATGAAGTAACTACACCGGAGTTATTATATTGAAAGACACTATATTACAAAAGAACCTTACTAAAGAAGATTGGGACCGATTATTATATTACAGTTTATACAGTAGTAATACACATTACACATGCACCCTCAGTAATCTATCTGCTAATCCTATAAATGTACTAGATTTGTAGCGTTACAATTAGTTTATATTAGGACGCAATGACTACCGGACCACGATGTATGGGGACTTGCCACCCCATGGCAACATTAAAATATATCGACTCTGTTATATCATGCACGAGAGACGTTATGGGACTGTGCAACCTTAAAGGCCGACAAATGGCCGACAGTTAGATATGCCCAAATATTGCAGCCTTATTGCTTCTGGTCCTTTAAGAGCTGATAAAGTTGACTGATTCACTAACCTCATCATCCTCATCACTACTAGTCAACTGAATGTCGAGCAATGACTTCTTAGGAGGGACTTTCTTTTTAGGGACTACTTCCACCTTTGGACTTTGCCCTCGCTTTGGACTAGAGCGCTTCTTTGTCTTTGGAGACTGAGTAAGTCAAAGATGATTAGATCAAATTTCAAACAACAAAAGATTATTGATCAGTATCTCAATATACATCAGTATCTCAATATACATTATACATTAATATACTTACATTTTAATATATTATACATTTTCATTACTGATTTCCATTATGCCGACGGATTAAATTAAATTATAAATTGAGGTGACCAAAAACATTATAATCGGTCAACTCGAACCCTTCTGCAATTCAACAAACTGAAAATCTAACATCATACCTTCTTCGGTGGTGCCACAGCTATAGGCGGTGCAAACGAGATCCTCTCGAGAACATCTAGATCAATCTGAGGGGCTGGAACCGGAGTAACAGTCTCTGGAGGAGGAGGAGGAGGAGCTATTGTCTCCGACAAAGTCAGATCCTCTAGCGATGTGATTGAGTTGGTTTCCTCTTGCGGCGTCACCTCCACTTCCACGTCATTGATAACTACGATATCAGGAGTGATAATTTCACATGGTTCACTGATGACCTCATCGCTGGTGGCGTCATTTGAAGAGTCTTCATCCCCGATGGAGATAGGTTTAAAATGGCGCGGAACTGATGTGGGGTCTATGGGTTGTAATGGGGAAGGCCCCATGTCGATTACTGAGGCACTGGGTTCTGTTACTGCCACCTGAAACACAAAGCAAGTTAAATACTTTCAAAATCTTTCTACATGTCAAATCTTCAGATGGTAGTCCAACACTGAATAAATTTGGGTTAACTTTGTTGAGCGATTCGGGATGAGCCCTATGTCAACTTTACACAGGGCTCATTCCAAATCGCTCAACTTGAAAGAACACACTTTCAATATATCCCTGTTTAGCCCCTGACCAACAATGGCCGACATCCATAGATGCAACACTTTTTAAATCCCTAATTACACTTTAAGCGTCTAGCCCTGATGAGGAATGTAACATTGTACATTCTGTAGGCGGAGCTAGAGGGAGAGAGACCGTATAGTAGGTATTTGTATAGAAGCTGGATAACTACGATTAACATTTAACACCCATAAGTATTACAGAATGCACGCCCCGCAATGTTATGCGTACTTGTATTACCGTTGGTTGCTGTTAATATAATATTATGTGTTACTTTATTAATAAAGGGTTAGGTTCACACTACCACGAGGTGATTGTCGCACAGTGGTAGAGCCCAGTTCTTCATGAACTGATCAAAACTAACAGAGTTATGCAGAACTCTGATTTTATCTAGGATGAACTCGAGACATGAACGAGGGTATAAATGTGGGTGGCAGTGAGTTCATCTATGAGAACAATTGACGTGCAAGGCTTGACATAGCATGAGATACGCTCTGGTCATGCAATCTAGAAAAATCTAAAATAAATATTTTGTCATGATATTTTGTGGCAATATTACAAATCAAAGCAACACAGCACCATCGCGTCGACAGGTCATTTGGAATGCTGACAATTGACTTACGTTGCTGTTCTTGGTTTCACTTTCGGGCTCGACCGGTAATTCTTCGTCGGCCCTGAAATAATGATTGTTCTCAGTCTTATTTGTTTTGATGGCGGGGTGGCATTTCTCATACTTTTATAGTCAGCTATTACCAAATTTCAATTTCTACATTTAACTCTTATTCAAGGTTTGAACTAAAGGTTTGAACTAAATGCTTTTTTGTGGTGTAGAGTATTTGCTTGATTCAGAACCACTCATATTACTATTATCATGTACATGCAACTGTCAATATAAACAAAGACAACTGGAATTTGTACATACATTACATCGATGGGTTTATATCCATCGTCATACGATTCCTCATCCGAACTCTTCGGAGGTTTCCGTGACTTCTTCAGGGTCTTGGAGGGTTCTGGTTCTGGTACAGGTTCTGGTTCTGAATCAGATGGGACTTTGTACACAACGACCATATCATCCTCGTCAGGTGATTCCTGGTCCATAGTGACCTGTGGATTCCCGGACGGCTCATCATCACTGCAAATCATTTAAAGTTTAACTATTATTCATTATTCATGACATCATTTTTCAGTCTCAATTTTATTGTAATTTTTAGAAAATTAAGATGGTTTCAAAATCTATAAATTCATAAAATATGGTTTACTTAAACTATGACAGCACGATCGATTACCTGTCTGATATATGCACATCATTTATTTTAGCACGTTGAGGTTTAGGACTGGGTTTAGGGCTAGGGTTGTTGCTCTCGGCCAAGAAGTTTGTGTCTAGCTTTCCCTCTGGTACGAAGTTTTCTATTCGTTGCTTGCCCACCCCGACTGTAATAATATAAGCATATGATGTTTAATTAATTAATTAATTAATCAGAATGAAGTACTAAAGTGCAGCCCTGTGAAAAGCATAATCTTCATCTGATCCATAATCACCCATACTTTTAGTTTAGACCTGTAACAGATCAGCAGTGTTTCTAAAAGTTGAAATAATAATGAAGAACAATCTTACCGTCCGTCGGGTTAAGTTTAGCTGGAAGTGGAGTGTTCTGCAACACTTTCTGACTAAGTCTACTTCTAAGGGACATGGCGGTGCCATCCTGTAGTTCCGACACATCTGTTCCTAAACACAAGGAAATATCGTAGAGTTTAGAATATATGCTTAGACGCTAAATAGTGTCACCTAAATGTTGGCTATTGATGATGTTCACAGGCACGGTTATTTCACAAACATAAGTCACATGATTTGATCAAAGGGAGATGCTCAAGCAGCAGAGTTGTAAAAACGAAAATAATGGATAAGATGCAGTGTATCAGGTTGAGCCTTGATAAACTTAAGACATTATACCTGTACCAGTTTGGAGCGGTGAATAAGTGCATTTCCAAAAACAAAAACACAATTTTGCATCTCAAGTCACTAAATAATAATACCAGAGCAAAAGCGCTGTTAACCAAAAATTTATGTGAGTAAGTAAAAGTTCGGCCGAACCTTCAGATGAGGGAATAGAGTCAGCAGTTTCGTTAGCTCCAGCGGACACAGTGCACGGACCTGACAACGAACACAACTTACACTCAACTAGCAGTAGCTTGGCTAGGGGGCGAGGGACACAGGGGGAGGGGGGGGTGGTTTGAGGGGGGCAGCACAGCCGTGAATTTCAAGCTTTTAGTGTAATTATTTGATTGCAATTTCGAGCATTTAGTATTAATTATTTGATCACAATTTCGAAATTGAAGTATAATTCTACTGCAAAATGCACTTTCAAACTTTTAGCGGCTAGCTTTTCGTGCTATCTAGGTTTGTAGACTGGCCCTTCTTTTTAAAATCGCGGCTTAATTTCACCTGTCTTAAACCATTCATAGTGATGGCTTGGATAATTTTCGAATTTCTTGACGTCTCTTTTTGTTCAATTTCATCACAACTGGCAATGCATTAATAGTTGTGTTGTTGTAATCGGGCTGAGTTTAAAACATTGTGCTATTTTAGAGGCGCAGTGCTTAAAGTTGCATAATTTCTTATGAAAATGCTCTAAAAATTTAGCCTCGACTTTAACAAAATGCTAAGTTTAGGGAATTGATTTTATTATAATTTTGCATAATGATATGAATTGGGGGAGTAATTAAAAGAAATCTTGCTACGGGTACTTCATACAAAAACCAATTTATACAGACAAGACGAAATAATCTTGTTTCTCGGAATATGTATACAGCTAACGTCCAAACATTTGGATTAGCGCGGCATAAAATGGTCGGTAATTTGAAATTAAATATCCTAAATTCCCTAAATACCTGTACTGGGGAGTCCTTTTCGTTTCCGCTCTAGGTACTCTTTAAATCTGTAAGCAAACTTATATTTATAATCTTAAACTTATATTTATAATGTTGTGTGGATATTTCTTGAGAAAGTTTGGTAAAGATCGAGGTTAAATTATATTAATGAATGAAACGTGTCACTTTTAAGCACGTAAGAGGAAATATGCCAGACAGAAGCTGAGATGATTAATCAAGTTTTCTTATATGGACATTTCACGTTCTTTTCATAGTGTTTCGCCCATAACTTGTCATGTACGGGGCGCCGCTTATATTGCTACTATTAGTACCGGTGCGGGGTGCCCTTTAGAAGAATCTAGACGTTCCACTGTAAATTAATTTAGTTTGTTCATTACCAGGTCACAGTATAGTACTACACGTACATTGCAGAGTAGTTTTATTTGAGGGACTGCGAGGCTGTGAATACATTTAAAACTTTCAGTACTACAAAATGACAACTGATTTTAGTTAGTGGATGTGTAAGGTGACGTGAGGGTATCCATTACCATCGACTGTCTTCTTTGTATAGTTTCTCTTGTAAAGCTTTATTGTGGGTGACTGCGTCTTGCGTCGTAATAACCGCGTGGTGTAATAATATTGACTGCAAACCTTGCAAAACTAAGATTATCTGTATTGGTAAAGTTATGTTGTTATTGAAAGGTATCCATTTGGCAACATGGTTGTTCAATAGTCATTTACCAACATTCTTACTCTTGGTAGTCGTTAAATCCCTTTGCATATTCACACATTCCACAAGCTCTAGAACGCTAATTACTGTGCACTATACTATATAATACATGCCTATTATAATCTATGTAACTTAACTAGAGTGTAAAATTATGAATATTGAATGTCTTAAATTATACCTTGAAAATCAGCCTAATTTTCAAATTTTTGTATTGCAACATCTTAAGGTTCTTACTTTAGAAACTACCTCATCTAAAACGTTTACCATAAACCTATAGAAGAGTTTCAAGAGTGGAAAACACTAATCATAGAGCAAGTGAAGATTCAACTGCAAGGAGCTAAACCATATCCCTATTATTCAGTATTATCAGATGTTGAAGTCTTAGCAGATTTAGATGAGCTTCATAAAGATTTTGTATTGGTTCCTACCGATAAAGCCAAAAATAATATTACTATTGTTTGTAAAAAGTTCTATATTAGTATGATTGAAAAGGAATTATCATCGAATACATTTACTAAAGTTAATCGTTCAGAAGATGATATAATTAATGAGCATAAAGCATTCTTACTTAAACATCGTATTAAATTTGATGAAGATAATAGCAAATTACCTTATTTATATATTACACCAAAACAGCATAAAAAGCCAGTCGGAGTTAGATATATAACGTCTGGTAGTGGAAGTAGTTTACAACAATTATCAGTCTATCTTAGCATTTGTATTAAATCTATGCTTCACTCAGCTAAAAATAAATCTATATATGATAATAAATTTCACGTTAGAAATGATTATTTTGTTATTGATAATAATGAGCCTATCTTAGATTTTCTTAGTTATGATAATACCCAGAAGGGTTTAAAGTCTGTCAGTACTTATGATTTTTCAACTTTATATACATCTATTCCTCATATTCAATTGAAGGATAATCTTCGTATGTTTGTAGAAAGAGTATTTGATTTTAAAGATAAGTCTTATATTATTCCTAATCTTTATACTAAGAAGGCCTATTTCTCTGATAATGTTAGTAAAAATAAAGTTCATTTTTCTAAAGATACACTTTTGGAATGTCTTAATTATTTGATTGATAATTCTTATGTTACTTATCAGGGTCAAATTTATAGACAAGTTATTGGAATACCAATGGGTACCAATGCAGCACCACAAATAGCTAATGTTTATTTACATGTTTACGAATATAAATATATTAAACTTTTGATAGAACAAGGGGATACAGAAAATCTAAAAAGATTAAAAGACACATTTCGTTATCAAGATGATTTGATAGTTTTTAATGATTTCAATTTATTACAGAATGTATTAGAAGATATTTATCCTAAGGAAATGATAGTAAATAATACTAATATTTCGGCTCGTAAATGTTGCTATCTAGACTTAAACATTAGTATTTATCAAGGAAAGTTTAGAGTGACGTTATATGATAAAAGAAAAGATTATAATTTTAAAGTTATATCTTATCCTTTTTTGGATGGAAACGTTCCAAATAATTTGTCTTATGGAATATTTATTTCTCAATTAGTACGATTAGCCAGAATTAATTCGACACTTAAGGGTTTCAAAAATTGTGTTACCGAACTTTTAGGTAAATTGGTTGCGCAAGGATTTAAGTTAGCTGCTTTGCGCAACAAGTTTGTCAAGTTTTATAAATCAAGATTAAATATTTGGGGTAAATATGGTAGTGATATTTATGATGAATTTATTGAAATGTTTCAATCACCTAATATTATTTTGTAATTTGTATCGACATATATCGTTTTTCAGTTATATAAGTTACCTAATATCTATTAATTATTCTAGTATTTGTGATTAATTTGTATTGATTTATTATTTGTGACTTATAAATTAGTAACCATTATTTTACCGTCTAAAAAATTTTTTTGTCAAAAATTAATTTTATGAAGGAGTAAGTTGACAAAAGATGCGCATTCGTATATTCATTTATTGCATGTTTAATTTGTTTTTTGTGTTTAATTTACGATTATTTGCATTTGAGATTCTGCGATTAAATTTATTTTGTTGATTGTAATGTTATGATATTGCATAATTTATTGTAAATGTAATATATGTTTCAGAAAATTATGTAATGTAACGTGATGGAGGTTCTTTAAGCGGGAAATTCCAGTCCAAACCCTGGAAACATGACATAAAGGATTTGTTTTACTTGTTGCATGAAAAGCACTAATATGACATAATTAAGGGTTGTATTAAATTCAACCCTGAGTTTATTTATTCGGAAACGACCGTATAATCTTCAGAAGCATCGTACCGTGACGAGGAACAAAGCACAAGCTCTGTAAAGTCTCTAAATGATTTACTCACTCCACTTATTCCATAAAGAGCCTAAATTCAGTCGTAAGGACATCTTTACAGACAAGTTCATGATGCACGGAGTTGCGAGCTAGGTACTTATATTACAACCTTGATTTCCGTTTAAGTCTACTTATGACGATATCTGTAAGGACTATGTACCTTATTCGAGAAATTTTATTTGGTAGACAATATTGACTTGCTCTTTTAAAAGGTTTGGGGTTAAGTGCAATTTTCATTTTGTTCGATTTTTAACTGGAGTCAAGCTCTGACGACGTCATCAATTTGGAGATGGATGCGAGATATAATTAACATGCAGGGTATCCAAGAAATGTACTTACAGAATACACAGTTAGTTGTTATCGTCGTACAATTATGCGAGACTAACTAGTAACTATTATATAGTAATGTAAGTTACAAGCACTCATTTCGTCATTCGTGAACTGGTATAATTTACTATTGCCGACCAGCAACCATTCTACCTTATAATTATAATCACCTCGCTTGTATTGGCTGATAATTTTGGGTTCCTTCAAATATCTAAGTGGTTTGATCGTGAGGTTCTTTGCTCAGTTATAACTTCCAGGAAAAGAGGTTGTTTTTGCGCTTATTGTCACGCGCTTGTTTTACTGATACTTTAACAATTACTTATACAGCATTTTATGAAAACTTCCTATAATTTTACGTTATTGTACTCAACATTTTCTGAGTGAATTCAATTCTGAGGAACATAGGGGTCGTTCACATATTTCGTAATCACTTTTTGGATAATTTAATCCCCCCATCCCTCCGTAGTCAGTTTTACACAACACACATAGCTATTGTGTTTACACAGCTATTTTGACAAAATTACACTAGCGTAATAATTTAGAACCCCCCTCAGTGATTACGTAATATGTGAACGAGCACATACGAGAATTTGGTTGACGTGTGCCTGAGAGTCGTTTAGACCATTCCCACGGTTCACACCTTTTATACCATCTGTAGGACACTGGTTCGACATATGCGAACCTCAAGCTGGGATCTCCAGCCCAGCTTGAGTGTTTTGAGTGCACAAATTAAAGGAACAGTGCGTTTAAGTAGAGAGGGCGGGGTCGAGATTGCCATAGAATATTTGACGGGGAGGAAGATAAATTCAGCTCAAATTACAGGACGACAGAATATCTTCTGATTCCTCAATACTTTTTATGGAGTTTTTTTCTGTCGTACGCCAAATTTAAGTTCCCTTCGTTATTTCACTACAAAGCATAAATATTAAATATATTTAGTATTACTAATTTCAATTTTATTTAATTCCTCCTTCCTGAACTTACAAGCTTTATTCACGACATTAACGAACGATTTATAAGATAATTCACCAATAAAACGCTACACTTTAACATGTAAATTAATGGTTTTACAGTATTACTTACCTATCATAGTCTTGTTCCTCAGACTTTTCGTGTACATCTAGCTCTACCTTGATAGCCTGCAACAAATATATTAATCCATTTCTTTATCAAGATAGCTCTAATATTTTTTTAACGCGTGATCTCGAGAACATGTAAATTTTCCATCACGAATAACTTTCCCCATCTTTTTGTTCTCCGGTGACCTCTGACGTAGACTTTTGTCAAGCCATTTCATTGAGAAATAGTATTCAAACTAGCGCGAGTGATGCAAATATAGCTTACTTTCAACCACTTGGTAATTTTGTTATCTGCAAACGTGTTGAACTAAGTGGCAAGGAGGGACTAAGTGAAACTGACGTTAGTTTCACTTCTTATTTCGTTACATTTTCATGAAGGAGGATCACAAACATTCGCTGTTCATTATGAATATTGGATTACCGAAACTAACGGCAGTTCTACTTTGTCCACAAGAAATCCCAAAAAAATAACATTGCGAATACGGCGGTGACGCCCCGACGTTGTCAGATCTCAAATCTTTTTCACGAAACAAATTATTCAAATCATATTGCTATCTTCCGCGCAGTTCCTAACTCAAAACTAAATTAACGTTAGAACAGTTCAGTACTTCACAATTCACATTGGTATCTCGAACAGATAACAAGCCCACAACACACACATTTATCTTAACTTGTGAATCAGGTAGCACCCTTATTAACACCCAATTAAACAAATTATCAGCTAATTAAACTCAACTTCTCCTATCACTGAGCCAGGGAGCCTTGTTTGTTTGTTTCCTCGGTAGGTTAAATTCCCGTGCGACTCTAGGCAGAATAGTTGTCTTGACTCTTGATTACGGTAAAATATTTGACTAAATCTCACAGTCAAATATCACCAGAGAGTTTGATATTTGATTAATGTTTGGCGAAGAATTCATTTTTATAAAGGCTCTATAGGGTCATGCCATGGTTTGCTTTAATTTTATGAAAATGATTGAGGTCATCGATGTGATAGCATCGAAATTGTTTTATCTTGCCCATGTTAGGTCATCCAACGCAAAAATCGTCAAAAATGGGAAAATTGCAGTATCTGTTTTAATTATTATATTCAACTTAATAGATTTACCTCCAGATCCTCTTCATTTCGTCTCAACTGTGCTAACAGGGTCTGCCTCTGAAATAAAAACTTATGTTAATGTTTTCGTATAAAAATGGTGACGTATGAGGTGTGCTCATCGTTTGCTGTACAATCTCGCTGTGTATTTAAGGTTATCACAGCACATAATAGAATTCCAATTGGTTCCATTTTTGGGAGTGTTATGAGAATTGAGTGGATATGGGTTTTGCGGCACTCTTTCACGTCGTTATGACTCTCAATGCATGCAGTACCCTGTTCCAATCATAATATATAGAATTTATGCCCAAAAAGCTTATACACCGACCCTCCGGTTGTATATCATTTTGGCTGTTAAAAATTCGAAACAATTTTAAAATCGTGCCTTCGAAAAGCACATACAAGTCAGAAACCAGTTTGAACTGAGAATATTATACAATGAATTTAATCAAACGATATTCAACTGGCCTGTGCCGTCTGGATACACGATGGTCTTGATATAAGAAAGATAAAGTATTAAAAAGGGCCTACAGTATATTAGGAGTAGGATATTTGATCACCGTACCTTATCACTATAATCAACTATAATCAACCCCTTTAACGTGTTATTCTGTATATTTTCATACCACGGACGAGTTCAGATTTTTGTATAACATGAAAAAATGCCCCCAAATAGAGCCCAAAATTCTCGTAGAAAATTATGCTATATTTAGAAAACAGAAAGGATTGGTTCTCGAGAAAACAGTGGCGGGCGAATCTCGAGACAATGTAGTCAGTTGTTGCTGTGGACATGTTAATTACCACAGCTAGTTGTAACCCTCCCACCACCCACCGGCACCAACACGTACATGCTGAACGATACTACCAGATTATGTGCATGACCAGATCACGCACCCCTTTTTACAATCTCCATTCAGAATCTAAGCTTTGCTTTGTTGTAAGGGAGTCGATCATTCTACAGTACTACAGCAGTTGTGCAATTCGTGTTCATTTCATGCAATGTGGTATCAATGTGCGAAATTGATCGGATTTAAATCCAATCAAATCATACAGAGCTCTAAATCTCAAGCAATTTCAGTTTTCTATGTGTCAAGACATTTTCGTTCAGTTGAGTAGACGTGCCTCTTTTTACAAAGTCATTTCAGGCGTAGTCTTCAAGACTACTAGTCTTGGTAGAGTAACAGTCTTATACCGGGCCTGGGTAGAAAAACCTTAACCTGGTAACCTTGTAGCATGCACAAGAGCAATTTTAACTGCACATCCACATTTTTTTTGAACATACTAATATGAATCCTATCTGCACAAAATATTATGTTGTCTTTTTCTCAACGTATGAATTACCTGGACTGTTCTGAAACTCTCACGACAATCTCACAGCTTCAATCCAATAAAACTTGGTCCAATTTTCTCCAAAAATCAGCACGTACAAAGTACAGCATAAAACATACTTTGATGGAATGACTCTTCAGTGTTCTTCGGAAAATGCATATTCGATATTGGTGGCACCACGTCATTATCCACTAATCAATAACCGGCCATAAAGTGCGCCCCACACACGATGTGTCCCTCCTGATACCCCGTCTATCTATACCCCCGTCTATCTATACCCCCGTCTATCTATACCCCCGTCTATCTATACCCCCGTCTATCTATACCCCCGTCTATCTATACCCCGTCTATCTATACCCCGTCTATCTATACCCCCGTCTATCTATACCCCCGTCTATCTATACCCCCGTCTATCTATACCCCCGTCTATCTATACCCCGTCTATCTATACCCCCGTCTATCTATACCCCCGTCTATCTATACCCCGTCTATCTATACCCCGTCTATCTATACCCCGTCTATCCAACTATTTATACTCGTCACATATTGTTACGGACGGTCATTATAATAGCTTGATTTGTCCAAAATAGCCGTAATAGGAAGAAAGCAGGCTGCTGCTGCTTTACAAATACATACTGGCAGCCAGCAATTATCTCACATCAGCGGATCACAAATAGCTCCACGTACAGGAGAATATAGTATACTGAATGTTGGACTGTGGGTTAGTGGTTATTGTTCTCCAATGGCGGTCAGGCTTTCATACGCTACACTCGGCACACTTACCACTTTTTGTCGTGTTCCATTGGGTCATAGCCAGTGCATGATCTCATGCTATCTTAATCGGTGTAAAGACTTGTGCAGTTTGTGTTTAGTTCTGGTTGTTTATTTATGGTGTGATTAAATTTAAATTGGGATAATGTTTATGATTGTCACAAATTAGTGGTTCTGGGAGTAGTCAGGCTAGGTGGTCTTGATCATGCTTCACTTCAGTATATCAGGCAGAATTGAAGATATTGTCTGTTTAAATATCGATTGATTTTATTATGATGTCAACTTCCAATTTAATTTTCTGGATGGTTGTTTTATAACTGCGACATCTTAGTTCGAATAATGGAGTAATTCGTCTATTGTGTTGGTAATTTGGCTTTGTTTCGAACTAATAATCCCAAATTTGGAGCATCAATATAACATTACAATGTTATATTGTAATATTATTTGACTTTATTAACATGAACTCGTATAAGAACCGCTCTCACACGTACATACCACTATTTCCAGCTCGAGAATTTATTGTTTCAAATTAAATGTAATATCTTAGTTTCTTTTCTTTGTTTTAAAAATTTAGCAGAGCTACTATGACAATACATAAGATATTTAAATGTTCTTTAATGTCTAATATTGATATTCAAGCGGGATGTTTATAAATATAAATATAAATATTCCGCTTCGTTTATTTTCGTTTCACTACTGATTAGTCGGGCATGTGCAGCTTATATTATTATAAGTTAAATACCAATGATCTCCCTAGTTAACGTTACGTAGTGGTCACGTGACGTAACATAAATGGGGGCTTTATATTTGGGTTAAACGCACCAGATATTTAACCTTTTTCCTACATGAAGTCACTTTTTGATTGTACATGCTCCGTTTTTTCGAGTTCTACAAATATTTGTTGGGTTGCAACGAAATAAACCAGGCCTGATTCTCCTTCATTTCAAATTATTTTATTCAGGAAAAGCTTCCATAAAATTAAATCAACGTTGGCTATAAAGGACTAGAGGAGCTATCGTAAAGTTAAATTCTGGTAGGAATATGCTATTTAAATTTACCAAATTAGGAGTCTACAAATAATGCTGACGCACAGGAAAGCTACTGTAGATCCAAAGATCACGTTTATAATGATATAATATGACATCCAGAAGTACAATTTAATGATTAACTACAGAACTGACTAACAGTTGCAATTTTCAGCATGACACAAGTCAGATATTATATAGGAATGGTTTGGTCGCTATAATAGTAACTATAAACACTCTTATTGTAATGCTATTTCTTCTTTGAACATTTTCGACTATAGTTTTCGTAGAATTATATATTTATAAGATCATCTGCGTCACAAATCCCCTACATACATCCAGATGAATATGGTTCTGAAAAACAAGAACCATAGCAAAGAAAGAGGTCATATCACAATTTTAGATTTCTCACGTATTAAAATCGGTTTTGGGACCATAGGATCATGTCAAGCCACGCTTCGATCCAATTTATTGTACATTTTCGAGCTACGTTGATTCAAAAACCGATGGGTTATGACAGTTCTCTACACTCAAAATCACCATCAGTTTCAGTCATGTCCGAACTCAAAGAATGCTTACCAGAAGTCAACAACCATGAAGATCGTAAGTTTATTTTTATTTTCAAGATTAGATATGTTCACTGCCTCGAGGAATCCATTTATTCCTCTGACAATATAAATTGCATTTACCATAAACCGTGTGCCACCTTTTATTGAGATTAATCTCAGGAGGAAAGTCCTGCTTTTAACAATTGATCTTGTTCTTTCATTAATTTTAATTAATTTACAAACGCGACCAAGTCATTTACGGGGATTCCTCCAGCCGTCTCGACTACCCCTATAAAGTATAAAATTGGCCCAAAATAAACATCGTCATTCGAAAATTATGCTTGTGACTCCACACTTATATAACATAAAAAGTGCGGTGGTGATGAACAATCGAATTTGCGTATCATGCGTAATTATAGATGTGGTCAATAATCTCAATGTGAGTCTCATCTAGTGATATTTCAGGTACTCCAACTCCTACGATAAACATAGAGGCTTCACAGGGAGACACAGTATTTACCGGTCAGTAGTTAGTAATCATATCCCTGTTAATTTAGTAGTGTTTACTGTTTATGTCTAATATTAATTGACTGATTTAAAAAAAAATTTCCATTTCAACCGGCCTTTAAAAACTTAAACCAACCTTTTGGTCGTTTTCTGCTTAGATCACTCAAAAATCCAAGGTTTTCCAGCACTTTTGACACATTTATGACAATTTGTGGCATTTTAAGCGGTTTCGAAAGAGGGTTTCTGAGCGCAGCGATTGGTTCTAATAGTTTCTGAAGGTTTTCTGGGATACCTTAATTCTCGAAAATTTGGGCGACAAAAAATTTGAGCGGGCCTCTCGCCCAAATTTTTTGCAGACCAAATTAATTGCATAAATCTTTTCCGTCTGCTAAATTTTTTGCTAACCAAACTTTTGGCATTTGGCCTGTGGCCCTGAAATCTATAGAAAGATGGCTTTTTCTTCATATCCAAGTGAAATAATATTTGAAATTTTAGTTTTCTAATCTGTCATTCATGGCTTGACCAAGTAAAAAGGCTTATATTTTAAATGAATAGAAATAACTGGAATAGCTAACAGCTACTAATAAAACAAATGGCTAGAGGTACGGATAGCTAGAGATTTAAACAAGATCTGCAAATGGATTATCATCCACCGTAAAGTCTGATCTACAAGCATCAGTTATACCCGACTTCTCAAAGCCTTTCCTTATGTCATCTGGCCTCCCTTTTAAATATACAAAAAGTTCGTTGATCCAACGAGCGTGTACTTCACGGATCACTGTCAAGCGGGTATCAATTTTCACATTGTCTGATGAAACTCCTCCATTGAGCTGACACACTATGTTTTTCGCGTACCAATCTTCATACTTATTGCGCATGA